CACCCCCCCCCCCCCCCCCCTGAAAATTTCCAAAACCAAAAGAAACTCACGTTATGCATGATGATAATGATCTTCTCCAATTCCAAATGACATGAAACTCCCGATTTAAGACCCAAAAAAAAACCCAATGATAATGCTTTTACCACCACTTTTCTTCGCAGACACAATGCAATGTTCCTCCTGTCCTCCTGTCTCCTCACCTCCTGCTACAATCACATCAACATTGATTCCTAAGTTCATAGCCAAGAAGAGAACTACAAAGGCTCGAGAACAATCTCATAATACAATGGACCACTTACTTTCAAACGATTATACTGTTGTAAGCGCTGCAGAGCTGGAGCAAAGCTGCCTGGTTAGCTTTTTCGAGATTCTCACCAATTATCTGAGGGTATCTACCAGGAGCAGCAGCAGAAAGCCTGGCCAGAGAAGCAACCACGAACTGCTTCGGATCTCTAATCTCTGGAAGAGGATCCGCTTCTCTTCTCCCAGCATTGTGAAGACTGACAAAGGCAGCCGTGTATCCAACATTCTCCAAGACTTCTGGCATCTCAGGTTCTTCAATGGCTCTTTCCTGCTCAGGCCTTGAAATAAGTGTCACGATACTATCCAGCATAGCTCCCCAGATCTTAGAAGCTGCTGGATCAAGAAGGGCTGGAGTCTCACATATGAGTCTTGTTGCCGCAACTGCAGTTAACTTTACCTCGATAGTTCCTAAGATCAGCTTAAGGTTTGGAATCCAGAATTGCTGCACGATAGTAGTGAAAATGTTGGGCTGAACAGTATTCATAGTGTCCACTAGATGCGCATGTCCGTGCTTCACCAAGAAGAGGGACATGAATACCACTAGCGATTTCTGGAACTTAATAGTCTTCTTGTTCTGAAGACGTCTGAACAGAGCACTCCATACACCCGTCATGTATGGCGCAATGGCACCGTAGTCGAGATACTCAATAACAGTATTGAGCACATAGAATCCTTGCTCATCTGTGCCAGGAGCAGCAACCAGTTTATCAAATATTCCCAGCACTTGACTTAACCGATTCTCTTGAGTAACCTCATGAGGTGCTTTCTGCAGGAAAGCCTGGAGCAAACGCACTAGAGCTGGAACATTGCCGCTTCTCTTCCAAGACTCAGGCGACAGGAGCAGCAAGAAGATCTGCATGTAGTTCGGTGAGAGAGGTGGTCTGTTCAGCTCAACAAGCTGAGCTAGCAGCTGAAACGCATAAGGCAAGAACTCTGCGATATCATTGGCCAAAATCATCTGCAAGCTTGGGAAGAGACTCGTTTCAAATGCAGATATAAGAGAAATATCACGTTCACATGCCCTTCGAACGAGTACAGCCACTGACTCAAAGATGTAGTGATTAAATGTAGGATTCTTGGGATTTTTGCAAACTTCACTAAGAACAGAGGTCAAGCCACCGATGCAAGGTCCAGCAACCTCACCACTGATTTCAGCAACACCGAGTACCCTCATTATACACTTCATAATATATTGATTCTCCTCAGATTCAGGAAACCTCAGTGCATCAAACAGATTCGTCATCAGCTGCAGTAAAAATGGACTTATATCACCAGCGACATACCTGCTCCTTCCACCTTCGTCCTTCACTAGCAAGAGCTTCTCTATGCAGCTAGCAGCATATGAGTGCACCACGTTAGACTCTGCTTTAAGGAATCGGACCAGCTCCGGGAACAACTGCATTGCAAAGGGCTTTGGAAGATGACTGCGAAACATTGTTAAGAACTTCAAGGACCCTGCCTTCAGCATTGGAAAACTGTTGACGTCTTGGCTTTGCAACTCGGGGAGAATAATGCTGGCAAAAAAGCTTTGAACATCAATAAGATCTGTGGATACAGACGCACCCCCTGCCTTCTTCGTAGCCAGCGAGACGACCAAGTAAATTGCACAATCCTTGTCTTTCCACTGTACAGCCGGATTTGTTGAAAAGGAACTCAAAAGCTTCTGTATCTCCTGAGAAACCACTTCTGTCACTTGCCCTTTGTAGTTAGTCGCAAGTCCTTTGAGCAGCTCACAAGCGATTCTCCTTCTCGTGTCCACATCACTTCCCTCCATGTCTCTCCGGATAAACTCAATATAGTTCATCTCAAAAAGCTCTTCATCTTCATCCCTCAAAGAAACATTAGGAATCACAATGCTCTGACAAATTTCCTTGATCACATTCTCGCCTGCAAACAAAGCATGGTGCGCACTAGTGCTCACAGTGGTCAAAAACTTGATTGCTGTAGTAGCTAACTGATCCCTACTCGGAGACTTCGACACATCCCTGAGTAATGTCCACACAGCTGATGCAAAATCCTTCAAAAACTCTTGGAACTCTTCTTCATACTTCTCCATATACAGGTTAATATTCTCACAAACAGCAGAACGAAGATCATCCACAAGCGCCAAACCATCTTCTGTGCTTTCCAAGGCGGGATAGTTCGATGACAAACACTTCCTAAACACTCTCATCCACTCCTTCATATTATCCTCAAAGAACTCAGGCAAGTCCTGAAAGTTCAACGAGAAAAATATCCTGCAGCAAAGCTTCTGAGACTCAAACAAAGGCTTAAGGTTCGCAGCCGATCCACCAGAGCTAACAGCGGAATCAATCAACTTATCCGTTTTAATAAATATCTCTTTTAACGGCTCAGCGAAAATCCCAAGGCAATACTTAATATCAAGAAACAGCTCATCGGTTCTATACTGATGCCTAAAGTTCTTGAAAATCGAGTTCGCAGTCCCGAGAATACCGTTAACGGACGCGTAGTCTCCGGCGAGAGCAGCTTTCCCGAGGCTGGAGACAAGCTCCGGAAGCAAAGCAGGCCAACACCTCGGGAAATCATGCTTACCAATAACCGCTAGGGCTTCGCTGAGCTGACTCTGGATCCGAGGGGAAGACGAGAGCATGAGCGAGACGATCAGCGTCTTGATCTGCTCCTTCTCCGAATCCACGATCGGAGAGACACCGGAGTCGGCGGAAGGTAGCCACCGCGAACGGAGGTGGTTCTTGAAGTTGACGGCGGCGGCGTGGCGAGTCTGTTCGTCGACGGAAGGCTCCGCGACGAGACGGAGCACGGCTAAGCCGTAGTTAGGGAGATCGGCGGCTTCCGAGAGAGATCTCTCGGCGGCGCGACGAGGCTCGGGGAGAGGGGAGAGTGTGTGGAGAAAGCACTGCGAGAGGTTCTGGAGAGTCTCTGGATTCCACTCCATTGTTCGGTAGAGAGAATCTAGGGTTTGTGCGACGGATCGAATAGGAGACGGCGAAGAGAGAGGGAGAGAGTTAGGGACTAGGGTTTTCTGATTTCAGAGGGAAACAGAAACGATTTTGTTTTTAAAGAGATGACATGAAAGTGGAGAACTATTAAGAGAGAGAGATACGACTTTTAATGGGCCTTTGTTTCAATTTGTTTAAGCCTAAGGACTTTAAATGGGCCGAACTTGGATCTATTTTTGAAATAGTGAACGTGACGAGCATTAACTATTTGATATTGTCATGTACGACTATGGTTTTCTGAGCAAGAATCTCTGTCGGTGAGACTTCTCGTTCCCCGAGTCTTGAGTATGTTTTAACTAAAATCATTTAATCAACCAAATAGAAAAACGTGTTGTATTAAAAACGGACGTATACTTCGTAGAACATGGCGTAAAGCCGTCAACGTCTGTGACGCTGGTCCAAAACATAACACGTTCTTTGGTCTTCTATATTAAAATTTTAAAACTAGTATTGCTAAGCAAAAAAAAGAGAGAGTTTCTTGGTCAAATAAATAATACTATACTCGTATTTTACCAATAAAAACATTAGTAGTAACTTTGGTGACGTTTTTTTTTGTTTCTGCTGCTTGATTCCAGTGGTTTTAGAGTTGTTTGAATCCAAAAATTACTAAATAAGAGCTCCACACTAAGTTTTCACCACGAATAAAAACTTGCAGCAGGATAAAAGTAAAGATAGTAGTAATTATTAGAAGCAGCTCTTTGTCAAAAAATAAAAATAATTAGAAGAAGCATGGTATCAAATCAGCTTGGTTTCTCATAACTTTTAGTTAAATACAGTACTTAAGCTTGCATTTGTTACACGTGGTACGTGCTATATAACGAATGATGCACACTAAAGTGACACGTGACGCATGATGGATTTGTCGTAATTTGAAAATAAAGTTAAAATGTCGATTTCATGGCTCCACCATTGAATCACGAAAAACGCGTGATGTATAGAAAAAAGATGGAGTTGCGTAAGCCAATTGATTCTTTTTATTGATTAGTAGTACCTTTGCTCCAATCGCCTATCGAACTTTTTTTTTCCGTAACTTCTTCCTAACTCTCTTTCAAATTTTCTCAAACGCATCATTATTTTCTACCATACATAACAGTTTACACGATTGATATTATTATCACTAGCTTTGTTGAAAAAAGGAATGTGAGGCATGAGAAGTAATTGTCTGTAATAAAGACCACCTTAGTCACGAGTGTCTCCACATAACCCCACATTTCTCCTCTTCGTTCTCTACCATACGATAGTAGGCGCTCTATCCTCTTACTGCTTATCCATCATGCTTACTTTGATTTATTTCATCAAAAATAAAACCTTATCATATATATTGAGTTCACATTTGTTTTGGTAAATAGTCTTAACAACATGTTATCAGGAAAAACTATTCTATTAAACGTGTACTAGAATATAAGATTAGACGAATCTACGTAGGCATGATTTTTTTTGTTTACCCGATCGATTAAATATGAGATTTTTTCGCTCTATCAAAAAATAAAAGAATTTATAAGTTGGTGCGACTTCCACATTACTCAAAGAGCACCAATCATGGCGTTATCATCATAACCTACAAAAAGGGTCAAGTTTAGCATGTCCAATTGCACACCATACATCATGTACATTTATATCTGAGCTTCTGTATTATGTAATTCGATCGCTGAAAACATTTTACAAAGACACGATGTAAAAATATATTGCAATTGTTATCATGTTCTTACTTTAACCTAAATGATGGTACTAATGAAACAAATAAAGACAATAATAATCGATTTTATAAGAAAATTATACGATGAAAACGAATTAGTTTCATCATATGTTTTTACATTGTTATTTTCTTATAAAACAATGGTGCTGGCTAAAAAAAAAAACAATGGTGATGTCTACCATTGGTTTTTTACTCTTTCAATATTTCTGTCATGTACTCCTTAAACACTTGTAGTTAAATGACCATTATCATTTTATGTCACTTATCGAATCCATCAAGTGATTGCCCCATCATACATGATTAAACTTTCAGTTTCAGAACTACTATCATGAACGATATATATATATATACTGTTACTGAAATGAATAGTATTTATTATTAGACATATATCCCCTTGATAATGTGTTTTGGCTTTACTTTGCATGTTGAGATAATTGGCTAAAGTGTTCTATTTCGCACCTATAATTAGAAAATTACCCATGATTTGACAATCACTTTTTTTTGGACTATTTTGCCTTTTTCTACACTCTCTCTTCTCTCTTTGACATCTCCCCTCTTTTTTTGTTCTCTTCAATCCCTAATTATTTTACAAATCTCTATCATTCTATATACAATTAAATTTTAAATTTCATTATTTTTTCATTAGTGGCTTTGAATCCTCAATTTTGACCTTTTTTCTCTCTCCAATCCCTAATTATTTTACAAATCTATATCATTCTATATACAATTAAATTTTACATTTCATTATTTTTTTCATAAGTGGCTTTGAATCCTCAATTTTTTGATGATATCAATTTTCTGGGTTTTAGATTCGACGTCGTGTTAGCGGTTAACAAATATTGTAGACGTTAACAGAAGTGTTAGGTGTTAACAATTATTTTTATGCTTCGCGTTAATAAATGTGTTCGCTGTTAACAAATATTGTAGACGTTAACAGAAGTGTTAATTGTTAACAATTATTTTTACGCTTCGCGGTAATAAATGTGTTGGCTGTTAACAAATATTGTAGACGTTAACAGAAGTGTTATATGTTAACAAATGTTTTTACGCTTCGTATTAATGAAAGGAAAGAGAAAGAACATTCTTGAAATTTCCTTGCCAAATGGTTGTGTCAGTGTTCTTCATGTCCAATCAATAGTATTTTGCTAATTTGAGTTTCAAATATGGATAGTTCACTAAATCACTCTTGCATGTTTCAGTTTTAAATTCGGTTTTGGTAACGTGACATATATTATTAGTTTTTGTTGATAAGTTCTCCACATGTCACAATACTCCCGTGTAACTAAATTTATTGAAGACTAGTAATTCCGTGTAGCCTCCTCTCTTTTCTATAGAGTTGTTATCACAGATTTTCACTTTGAACTATAACAAAACATTTTTAAATCTACCATGTATGTGTAGTAAGTATACACTTGTGTAGGTTGGTTTGGTGATAGCAATAATATTAACAAAAGATCATGACCACTTTCTATATATTTAATAAAACGCTTAATTATTCTATCTTTATGATATAAAGATTTGTAATTCATCCCGGGTGAATCAAGATTCCGTCCACACGAGTATAAAGTGGATGTATTGCAACATTTTTTTTTTCCAACTGAGAAATCTTATAACGTTAATAGAGGTTTGTGATACAAGGAGTTTTTGTAAATGCTAATATAAATATGTTTTTGGCTATAATTCGATGGTTGACAAAAATGATAATAAAAAAGCTCTAGAATCATCATGTAATGATACGTACATACTATATTTTATTGATTGTATTCTAAGGGGAGCAAAGCAATTAGAAAACTACAACACACATGAAGATAGAAAAGTTAGGTTAAAGTCATCACATGTGCTCGCTCTCACGGAACAAGACTCCTTTTGTTGAACGTTACAGTTAGGCATGAGATTCACGCAAATCTTATGCGGCAAATAATTTTTTCTCTCAAATCTATAATAATAAAGTTGACAAATCTGCCTACACAAGAGGCCACGTCCTTTTTTTGATAGGGGGGTTTTGCTACATGTGTCAAACTCTAATTGGGTGTACATGAATCAGTTTCTTCTTCCCCGGCTATTCTCCTTCCCATCGAAGCGCTTCCTATGTGATATGAGAGAAACCAAAAATTCAATTCATTACCGTAACGCCTCCCCTCTCCTAAAGTTTGTCATTTACTACGAATTTACAGTAGATTTGTACTTAACTCTGACTTTTTTTGTGGCCAACAAGAACTTAGGGTTTCTTCGTTGTCGATCTTGGCGTTGCAGAGGAGGGAGCCGTGCCTTTCAGATCAAAACGCTTCCGGACCAAGCTTATGTACCAGATGCAGTTATTAATCATCTGGGTAATTAAAGAAGAACTTATGTTATTATTCCCTCCTCTCACTCTCTGCCATTAAATAGGTTTGCCTATAAAGTTTTTTTGCTGGCTGCAATGAACATTCTCACGATTGCGATCGTTGTTCCACAAACCAATCATTACATCTACCACTTTTTCTTCGAAAACTTCATCGGCTTTTCACTTCTCATGATGAATTTTTTTTTGTTATTGCAGACTGGGTGCTCCGAGGTACCAGATGATTACATTAGAGACAAATCTTAATCGGCATCCTCTGTTACTGATTTCTCACAAAGTTTTAGCATGAAGGTGTTCAAAAACTTGAAACTGCTACAGTGGCTTAGCTTAATGCATATGTTCTCAGCTCTGATCCACAGGTCTAGAATTAAACTCAACTCTTCCTCTATTACCGGTTAATCTCTCTATAATTAAGTGGCTTCCCATGTATTGTGTGGACAGACTTTGGAGCATGTTCAAAATACACTAGAAAGCTTCAACGTGGTTTCTGAACATTTAGATGTGCAACGTTGCAATAACAACAATGCCGTTGAGGCTCTAAGGTTATTCTTCCCAGGCTCATGTTTACTGCTATTTGAACTGCAACTCACAGCCGTTTTTTTACCAACCACCATTTGCTCATGTCAACACTGTTAATGATGCATGTACTATGTCCAGTTGTGTGTCTCACATGGATCAAAATCATCTGTGTTTGTAGCTTTTGATGGTCATCTTACAAAGCTCACCAATTTTCGTGCTGGTTACATTTTACAACTGATGGTAGTAGTGAGAAATAAACATTTCAATGAATGTGTTAAATTTTTGACAAGCACAACCACTGAAACCTAAGTTTGTTTTTTTTTTTTGGCAGGAGCAAGGTGTAGAAGACTGATGAAAGGCCGGTTCCACAGTGCCTAATGGATGTTAGGTGGTTAGCAGCACTTTCACTTTCCTGTTGAAACTTTCACCCTTCAACTTCGCCTTAAAGCATCAAATCAATACTCATGGATCTTTGACCGTAACCAGCGTCCACAGCTCCCAAACCTTGCTTTTAGAATGTAAGTACAAATATTGCCTCTATATGTGATCCTGTTTCTGTTCTTTGGTTATGCATAAACTGTATGAGTAATGATAATAAAAGTAAGAAGGAATACTTTGTTCTTGAAGATACACAGTCTAAAATGTCGATGAATAAGGAGTTTAGAGGACGTAAGAGAAATCTTGCACACTAATCAAATTGGTTTTGCAGGAAATAAAGAATACCCAGACTGCATTGGAAGGAAGAAAAACAGCTCTTTTACAAAAAAAAAAAAAAAAAAAAGAAAAGAAACAGTTAAGCGTCTTCTCTAGCAATTGTTCTTACTGGTGACAAAGAACATTGAATACTATCTATAAACCAGGATACACCGGTTTGGTTTCTGCTGGGCATGAATGGATGAGTCTAAAATTGGATTTTAGCTTTGAGGAGAAGTGTTCGAATGACTCTGTTTTGATTCCTATGTACTATGAACGTTCAGAACGAGTTTTACTGGTTTTTGGACTCAATACGAAAAGAAAACATCAGATTCCGTGCCATATAGTAAAATTTAAAATAGTATATATATATATATATATATATATATATATATAATTCAAACTATACAATAAGGAAAATTAAAATTAAACGACTGTGAAATAAAATCACATATTAACAAAAGTCAATATGTCGACAATATATAGTATATTTATGAAAAAAAAAAATTCCTGTCAATAATAAAAAAATATAACGGGATATGTATCTTCAAACAATTATGTAATTTTTGGCCGAAAAAACAATTATGTAATTTATATAATATTAAATTTAAAAATCTTTTAAATTACTAATATTTTCCTTTCCCTTTTTTCCCTTCACAACAAAATAGTAAAATCACAATAAGACAAGTTATACTAAAATAAAAAAATAATCCAAAAATAAAACTTTTTGTTTGAAATGAAAATGGTATCCAAACAATAAAATAATAATCCAGGGGCAATAGACACTGAAACTAATAAAAAATAGTAGACTTTTATTTCACATTACACAATTACTCTTAAAATGTAAATCAACAACATAAAAGAAAATTTAACCAAAACCGTGAAAATATCTACAATAAAAATTAATTACAAAAAAACATAACTAGAGATTCAAAACACCTAAATATAATAAAACATGACACATAATGTGATATTATGATAGTAAAGTTACCACTAACCATGAAATACACATAAAACATCAAAATAAACAAATTAAGGAACACACAAGTAAAATCAATAGAAAACAAAATGTGAATATATTCAATAAGTTTGATAGAAAAAAAATAAAAAAAACTTTAAACTTAACACTAAAACTCAAAGTTATCCTTTCCATAAATATGTTTTCATATTAGAAAATATGAAATGTTGATCATGGATTTAAGATTGAGCTCTTTTCACAAGTAAGGAAGAAGATATTAACATTTATTGAATTTAATGATGAATGGTTAATGTGGTTTGATGGACTTTTATAATTGACTTTGAATAAGAAATATTGGCAGAAGAAATAAATCGATCTTCAACTATTTCTGCAGATTTACGGAAATATAGTTTGTCATATGCATTTCCACGTCATCTCTCATGTTGGTATTCTCTGATTTTTTACATACTTTTAAATACAAAATATAGGCAACCACTAATCTAAAATATTACACAAAAAAATTACTTAATATAACAACAAATATGACAAAAAACACGTTAATAGATTAAAAAAAAAATTACATAGAAATCAAAGTCTAGAAACATAGTAAACCAATAAAATAACTACGCAGTAAAATACATTCACATGGGACATAACATCCAGCTTCAAATGGACACTTAACCCAAATAAATAAATATGTTTTCGTACCCTATCACTTCTTCCTCAGTCACCTTATTTAAACTCCAAAATCCACATGCAATTAACTTCTACATTAATGAAAATTAAGAGAAATACCACTAACCACTAATACAACAGCCATAACCAGAACAAACAAAAGAAAATGTAAAAGTTATAAATGGTTACCCTTTTTGCCACATGTTATTTGTCTTTTTCACTACACACTCATATCCAACCAAGACAATCATACGATTGTAAAACTATAGAAATATACCTAAAATAAAATCTATAATTAATCCATTATAGTAAATTTACAATTCAAAAATCAGCAATAAGCATATAAAGGCCAATTAACGTTGGAAATTTAGAAACATAAACCTCCACTTTCTACTAGATATTTTTGAAGATATAGTATAATAATATATAATGCAACCTCCCATAATGCATACATGATATATCATAATGAAAAACGAAAATAAAGAATATTCAATAACTACAAAACACATTAAACGTTTGTTAGAAACCCGTATCGACCACCAAATTGTAACAACTCCCAACAACACCATATGAATCATCTAAAAGAAGAAACATACATGATGTAAGAACTTATTCATAGATACTGGTAATTTCAAGATTATAAATAATTTTAGATTCATTAGAGAATAAAACATATGAACCCGGCGCGTAGCGCCGGAATACCACTAGTTTCTAAAATTATAAGGAAAACGTAAACATGTATAGTATTAAATTATAAGGAACAATTAATGAGAATAATAATAATAACAGATAGTCCAATTAAATGGACCCACGTTAATAACGATGTCTGAAATAAATAACACACACCCTACCAGATAATTCAGACGATATTTTATCGTCTTGTTTTTTCTGCATGTGAGAGTGCTTTTTATTCGTTGAGACAAAATAATAAAAAGAATTAAATTCAGTACTATTTGGTACATAAATCTATTTAAAAATCTTTCGACCATGTGATGATCTATCCTGTTTTTTATTTTCCTACTTATTTTCGTTTTCTTATTGGCCTATATAACTGAATCTCACGTAGTTACATATACACGTGTGTATATACTTAACTTTAAATTTAAATCCACACATTAATCAGGTTTCTAGTTCTAAAACATATGGAAACTTAACCATGGTTAACCTCCTAAACCCAGCTCTAAAACGTTGCATAAGTAACCATGGTTGGTTTTTTAAAAGAGAGTCTTCACACAAACTTACCCCACTCTCCCCTCGTCTCCCTCTCTCTCTCTCTGCATCTTCTCTCCAAGGAAACTCTTGTTTTCATATACCTTTTCTAGTTTCAAAACTCATTCAATAGTTCAAAATCGAAGCTTTTCACCACTTTCTCTCAATAAAGTTATCGTTTTTATTCGAAACCATCTCATAGAACCAGCTGGAGAGGTTTTGGGTTTACATGGTTTCAAGCATCATTGAGTTCTGTAGAACAAAGGTTTGGTTTTTATCGGTGTAGAGTATTCAAAGTTTCAGACTTTTTGAGATTTGGTGAAGTTTTGTGTAATAGAGGAAGATGAATACGAGTGATGTAGGATGGGAAGAGGAAGATAGATCCATGGTTAGTGCCGTTTTAGGGAACTTAGCTTCTGATTTTCTTACAGCAAACTCAACTTCGAATCAGAACCTGTTTCTTGTTATGGGAACTGACGATACTCTCAACGAGAAGCTCTCACGTCTCGTGGACTGTCCAAACTCGGAGAGTTTCAGCTGGAACTACGCCATTTTCTGGCAACAGACCATGTCTAGATCCGGACAACAAGTCCTAGGTTGGGGAGATGGGTGTTGTCGTGAGCCTAACCATTCAGAGGAATCTAGCGTTTATAACTGCAACAGCTTAGAGGAAGAGATGAGATGGCAATACATGAGGAAGAGAGTGTTGCAGAAGCTTCACAGGTTGTTTGGTGGATCTGATGAAGACAACTATGCTCTGAGCTTAGAGAACGTAACAGCTACTGAGATGTTCTTCTTGGCTTCGATGTATTTCTTTTTTGATCATGGAGAAGGAGGTCCTGGGAGGTGTTGTGCTTCAGGGAGACATGTGTGGTTATCAGATGCGGTTGGTTCTGATTATTGTTTCAGGTCTTTTATGGCGAAATCTGCTGGGATCAGAACGGTTGTTATGGTTCCTACTGATGCTGGTGTTCTTGAGCTTGGTTCTGTTTGGTCTTTGCCTGAGAATTTAGAGTTGGTTAGGTCTGTTCAAGCTTTGTTCATGAGGAGAGTTGAGCCGTCTTTGGTGATGAGTGGAGGAGGGGTTCACAAGCTTTTCGGACAGGAACTGAATAGTTCGGACCAGGGAGCTCATCAGAACAATTACACTTCTCAGGGGATAGATGTGAAAGTGCAAGAGAATGTGAGTGTGGTTGTTGTAGAAGATAACAATCACAAGATGAAGACTGAGTTTGCTGGATTGAATCCATGTACAAACACTCAACTAAAGAAGTTAGATTCTTGTAAAGAGAAAAGACCAGCGAGTTTATTAGCAGGAGGAGGAGGAGGAACAGTGTCTATTGTAGAGGAGAAGAGACCGAAAAAGCGAGGGAGAAAGCCTGCAAACGGAAGAGAAGAGGCAATGAACCATGTGGAAGCTGAGAGGCAGAGACGAGAGAAGCTTAACCAGAGATTCTATGCATTACGCTCAGTAGTTCCAAACATATCTAAAATGGACAAAGCTTCTCTACTCGGAGACGCGATCTCTTACATCAAAGAGCTTCAAGAGAAAGTAAAGATGATAGAATCTGAAGGAGTAATGACCAGTAGGACAGAAGAGAGTCAAGAAGTTGTTGACATTCAAGCTAGGGAAGAAGAGGTTGTTGTGAGAGTAATCTCACCGTTGGAGTCACATCCAGCTTCAAGAATCATACAAGCAATGAGAAACTCAGAGGATATAAGTGTAATGGAGTCTAAGCTTTCATTAGCTGAAGACACACTGTTTCACACTTTTGTAATAAAGTCTAATAACGGATCAGACCCATTGACGAAAGAGAAGCTAATAGCAGCAGCGGCATACCCGCAAACCAGCTTGACGCAGCAGCTATTACCATCTTCTAGCTCACAGGTCTCTGGTGATATCTAGCTTTCAAGCTTGTTTCAGTATAGGAAGACTTGAGGTTCAAGTAGACATAGATAGATAAATCCTTTTTGTTTGTTTGTTCTCTTTCTTAGAGTGAAAGGAATCCAGTTTTCGTATAGTGTTATGATTAATAAGTTAAAATCATTAACTTGCATATTTGTATTTTGAGAAATTATTTCTCCATAGAAAATCAAAAGATATTTTGACTTTTTTCTTTCTTTGAAATGTATGAGTGAATAATATCTGTAATGTTTTGCCTATCTAATGTCATATATGTTTATCCAAGTTTCTCATTTATGTATCCATGATATGTTCATATCCAAAGATCTTTGCTAATTGCACAATACCTCACTCACTATGTAAACATCTGTGAATTAGTTTAGATTGCAGGAAACATAGTAAACCTGTTAACTAATTATCCTAGTATATTATACAATTCACACATGTTTTATTCATATCTTATATAACTAATTATCACTCATTAACAAACCAATCCTATGTAGTAAACCTGTTAACTAATTATCATAGTATATTATACAATCCACACATGTTTACTCATATCTTATATAACTAATTAGCACATACTTCATACTTGGATCTTTTTCTCAGTCACACTCTTTTTCATGTTCCATGTTAACTACTTCTCATTTTAATTTTTGGGCTTAATAGTTATTCTAAAAAGCCCAACTCGGCTTCCTCGTTTGCTTAGTTTTGTTATTTCTCCGACCAGTTCGCGTAAGGCTAAGTGTGGAATTAAAAGTGTGTTAAGTCCTTTTACTTTCCTTGATTGGAGGAGACAGGAGTATGTTCCTGTGATAGAATAACTCAAGTAATGGATGATTTTTTTTTTTTAGTAATGGATGATTTATCTTGGTCTTTAGTTTAAAAACACACAAAAAAACCCACTACAATCGAATTATATTTTGTGTTTATATTGAGTTGAATCACACCAAATATACCATACCACGTCTATCATAGAAATCTATTTATTTTGGTTCACTTAAAATCAGGTTCAAAAAATAATACGTAATATTTATTTTGGCTCACTTAAAATCAGGTTAAAAAGAAAAAAATATTTATTTTGGTTCACTTGAATTATTCTTGATATAATTGCCATTTTAAATATCAACCAGTAATAACATCATCCTTAGTAGCCAACAACATTATGACATTCTCAAAGCAACTTTTCCCTTTATTTTTCCTCCTCTTCCTCTTACCTCTTCGACACGCCTCAAAACCTATAAAATGTCCTTCTTCCCGTCGGGAATGGCTTAGTTGCGGGCCCTCTGAAGTACGCATTCGTTTTCCTTTATGTGACCACAAGGGATTCAATCTCCGTTGCAACAATCTCAACAAAACAGTCCTACAACTTCCTATGTCGGGAACCTTTTTTGTCGAGACTGTCGACTACCTAAACCAACGTATCTCTATCAGCGACCCTGATAACTGTTTAGCTAAGCGTCTTTTGACATTCAACGTTTCAGGATCTCCTTTCTCTTTTCCTTTCAATATCGAATACACGTTCTTTACATGTCCAAATGATGTTGTCTTACCCTCCTCGTATTGGCCCGTCCCTTGCCTAAGCAATTCTACTTCCTCCTTCTACGCCACAACTAGTTATAACCAGGCAAGCTCTCTGTTTCCTTCTTCTTGTCAGATTGTGAAGAGATTACATGTTCCGGCTATCAACAGAGAAAGACTCTTGCTGGAATGGCACTCTCCCAATTGCACAAGTTGTGAGATGGATGGCTTGACATGTGGACTCAAGAACAAGGCCTCCCTCAAAGTCAAATGCTTCGGTGATAAATCTGGTATGAACTCGATTATTTTCTTTAGGTTTGGTGGAAAGCTTCAATCCCACGTAATCTTTAGGTTTAGTTTTTTCCTCAAGTAATTCCTTACTCTTTTTTTTTTTTTTTTTTTTGAACACATCAAGTAATTCCTTACTCATAATGCAAATTATATAAAAAATCCTAGTAGGAATTAAAAATTTGACAACCAGGATTTGACTTTAATATTTTGACAGTGTTTTATAGAAAAGATCAAATCCAACGAATAGTCTAAAGACTCAACACCAAATGCAGAAGGATTCTCAGTTTCTAATTTCACATGCTATAAATAGAAAATCTGGCATCCGATAGCTTCAAGCTTAGCAAAATTAGTGATTAATACGGTATTAACAGAGCCGTGACAACCATTTTTTAATGCCCTGCCAGTGTGTATTAGTGGGACTGGCAGATAATTTGATCTAAAAACCTTAGTTGAAAGGTTCGAAAAGAGAAGAAAAACATTTATATGAAAACAAAAAGAACCGTATAATTTGACTTAAAAAAAAGAGGGATATTATATAGTAGAAGTTTAAAACAAATCCATATTCAATTACTGTACTTTTGATGCTAAAAGCCTAAATAAATACAAGTAATAAAATCGAAATATGAATTAATTTTGGTGTTCTTTTAACGGTCTAAAGTGTCTCTCCAAACATAATGTGGCAGGTTCTAAGAAAAGCAGAGGCAGCGGAATAGAAGCATTAATAGTATGCGTGTCCGTATTCGGAGGACTCTTCTTATTCTTTCTCTGTTTATTTTGTATCGCTTGCCTCGTAAACAAGTGTAGCAATGTCGAGAGTTCGGATTCCCCGAGACAAGAGATTGTGGAAGTGGAATCAAGAGAGATGATCGGAAGGGCCACGAGGGGACTTGACCAGTGTACAATAGAAACATACAAGAAAATGGAGTTGGGAGAAAGTGTAAGGCTTCCGGGGACAAATGGAACTGTATGTCTTATTTGTTTATCAGAGTACGCGAGCAAAGAGACCGTACGATTCATACCAGAATGTAACCATTGCTTCCACGTGGAATGTATTGATGTGTGGCTCAAGATTCATGGCTCATGCCCTATTTGTCGAGACTCACGCGCATTAAGATAGAAGCATGGGTTAGTTAATTGGCGACTAATAGATGAGTAGTATTTTGGTTCATGCTACTTGTTAATTTGTGTGAATACATGTGTGAATGTTTACTATGGCGTGAAAGATTGTTGTAACCTTGTAAGTTGTAAGAGAAGAGCATGAGCTCTCAGTTTTTTTATATATATAATGATGGTTGTTTTATTTGTTTCCATATATTTTGGATCCAGGCCAAAACGCATGTGATTACTTTCAAATGCACTGTATAACACACATGGTGCCCCTTACGTAAAGATAATCTACATCTTAATCTCCATGTGCTCATCTTAATCCCACACTATGCCATAACAATAAACATGGACTCCTCCAAATTATGTAATGACAATGAATGAATCTTAATAATAACAGAGGCTATCGCCTATAGAACAAAAGTTACACGAATATTTATAAAGTGATGTCAAGATATTTAACTAAACATCACAAACAAACAAAATAATTAAAAAAAAAGAGTCAACAAAATCTCTTCAACAATCCTTTTGATTATGTTTTTAGAACATATTATAACGAAAATTAATTAAATCTGTGTGGGAGAGATTAGCAGTTAACAACGAACAACCTTAACCGTGAAAAATCATCTGATCATCATCATCAATCAAACATCATCATCACCTTCATCAATCGTCCATCCCAGCTGATGAGACCTCCTCGTCTCCACCACCGCACCCCCCGTCTCCACCGATAAATCCGCCAAGGTCGCGAGAGAAGACGACGAAGAGAGCGATTGAAGATTCTGATTCGAAGAAGAAGCCGACGAAGCCTGGAAACTCATAGCCATGATGTTGCCTTCGCTCCACGACCTCCGGATCGGGAACGAGATGCTCTCGGAGCTTCCGTGGCGTCGGCAAGGCTTCCGCCGCTGATTTTGACTTTTCTTGGCGCCGTCGTGGAGCGCGCAGTCGCAGTTTTTGTGGTAAGGACGTCGTTCGATGGCGGAATCGAGGCCGGAGATGCAGCCTTCGAAGATGCTGCGGAATATTCCGTCGGCGGCGGACATCGTTTTTTGAATCTCGAGATCCAGGCGGAGATAAACGAAAGAGAGGGAGGGAGGATCTGAGTCTTTCGTGGAAAACAGATTTTAACTATATATAAAGAGGAAAAGTTTGTTTAAGTTAGTTAATTCTTGGTTTACACGTGTACGTTGTTTTATTAATGGGCCTAATAAAAGCAGAGCTAATAACAACGTGTCTTGGCGTATTATAAATATCGCGTCAAACCTAGTTTCTTTATTGGGCCCATCTCAACCTACGCGTGATTCATTTAATTAAACAATCGACGGCGCAGAAGTTGCCAGCCTGGCAGTAATCAAACGATGCCGTATTTGAAGTCTCCCTTTGTTATCGCTTAGAAACGACGTTCTTGGGCTATAAACGAAGACGTTGGGTTTCGCTGCATAGAGGCCCATATGTAAATAAAGAAAACAAACCGATATAATCTGATAAGCCGACGAAACGACGCCGTTGTGATTTTCCGCGAAATATAAAAGACCATTTTTAAAAAAACATTAGTCACTGAGAGGGCTTTTTTTAACAGATCAAAGCGTCTCTCTCTCTCTCTCTCGGCGTTCTCGTTTTGTTTCACGATCGATCGTATCAAAGAATCATCGATTAGGGTTTAGAGATGGCGAGGAGAGTGGAGGGAAGGAATAGTTTTAGGTGCAGAGACTTCTTTCTATGTTCGCTACCAGTGGCATTCATCATGGCGGCGTGTCTCTACCTTCTAGTTTCCTTGTCCATCTTCGGCTTCTACACTCCTCAAATCCCTTCTTCCTCTGGTTCGTTTCTTTCTTGATCGTTTCTTGTAATGTTTTTATAATGGCACGAGTGTTCATAACTCACAATTGATATGCTATTAACGTTTCAGATAGTAAACAGAGTAACTTCTTCGACAAGGTACAGTTATAATCCTCACATTTTTACTTAAAATTTTCTTATGAAAGATTATGTGTATGGATGCTTCGTTTTCAGGATCTTGGCTGGAGAGAAAGAGCGGCTCTGAAAGCTTTTCCATCTCTTTTCTCTAAAGAGGCAAGTGTCTCTCTTTGTCTTTGGAGTTTCTTGTGTTTGCTAAAAAGTAGTAACTAAAAGTGTTTGATATAGATGCTTGATGCTCTCAATGGTACTATTACTACATCGGATTCGAATCCTCTGAGCATCGAAGCAATCAGGAAGAAAGAACCTTCTTTGTCATGGAGAGTAGAGGACGAAGTTGCTTCTTCTTCTGAGGTGTATATATGATGAACTTTTATACCATAACTTAACTACGTTTCTTGATATGTCATCAGAAGTTTACTGATCATGCTTTGTGGTATCTCTCACTAGGATCAAATGGTTAATAACTTTCCTCATGAGACCTGGACAAGAGAAGGAGGAGACCAAGTGTTGAACGATACACCAGAGAAGCTGTATCAGAGGGTAACTTTCTTTTACACCCTTTACACTTGCTTTGATCTGATAGTTATATCTCCTTGTGTTGTTGAAGAGGATGAGACAGGAAAGAAGAGAGAAACGTGCACAAGAGTTGATGAATCCTAAGAATCTAGAAGAGCTTGAGAAGGCAGCAATCGAACGTACCAGGACCGTTGATTCTGTAGCAATAGGAAACTTCAGCATCTGGAGAAATGATTATCACAAGAGCAAGAACTTTGAAGATCTGTTGAGTCTGAGGCAAGATCAAATCATTATGGTGCGAGTTTACACTACACTAGCCAACATGACTAACAATCTCGCCTTGCACGAAGAGCTAGAAACACAACTAGCTAAGATGGAGGAAGAAGAAGAAGAAGAATCAATTAGTATTGATCAAGAGCAGAGGTAACTAATGTCATATATACTATACTGTTCTTAAGATAGTAATATTATTCTCATTCTTTTGTGTTATTGTAACAGAGTTCTTGAAACCATCAGAGATATGGGACAGCTTTTGGGTAGAGCAAGGCAGCAGCTATATGATTGCAACTTGGTGACAATTAAGCTGAGAGCAATGCTACAAACAGCTGAAGATGAACTCCTCTCAACACAAACTCATACTACTTTCTTGAACCAGCTAGCTTCCAAATCAATACCAGACACTATCCATTGCTTGACCATGCGCTTGAATCTAGAGTACTCTCTCCTCCCTGCACCCATGAGACATTTCCCAAGAATGGAGAATTTAGAGAATCCAAATCTTTACCACTACACTCTCTTCTCTGATAATGTATTGGCTGCATCAGTTGTTGTCAACTCTACAGTCACTAATGCACAGGTAACATGAATATGATTAAGACTTGAGAGAGTTGCAAGAACACTTACTTTTTGTTTGGCAGGAACCTTCACTGCATGTTTTCCACCTTGTGACTGATAATCTCAACTTTGGAGCAATGAGTATGTGGTTTCTGATAAACCCTCCCGGAGATGCAACGGTTCACGTCCAAAGGTTTGAAGATTTCGCTTGGCTGAACTCATCTTACTCACCGGTTCTGAGACAGCTAGAGTCAGAAGCTATGAAGAAGTTTTATTTCAAGACGGAGAGATCGGAGTCTGCTGAATCAGGAGCAGAGAATCTCAAGTACCGGTACCCTAAATACCTCTCAATGCTCAACCACTTGAGGTTCTACATCCCCAAGATCTTCCCAAAGCTGGATAAGATCCTGTTTCTTGACGATGATGTGGTTGTTCAGAAGGACTTAGCTCCCTTGTGGTCGGTGGATCTCAAAGGGAAAGTGAATGGTGCTGTAGAGACATGTGGTGAAACTTTCCATCGGTTAAAGGCTTACTTGAACTTCAGTGATCACCACGTTTCTGAGAAGTTTGATCCGGAGTACTGTGGATGGGCTTATGGGATGAACATCTTTGACCTTAAAGAGTGGAGGAAGCACAACATCACAGAGACTTATCACTTTTGGCAGAACCTGGTTAGTTCTTTCTTTCTTGACTTATCATTCAATCTCCAAGTGTATATAGATTAAGTTAAAAATGGTTATGTTTGGTTTTGCAGAATGAGAACAGGACTCTATGGAAACTTGGAACATTGCCACCGGGGCTTATAACGTTCTACAATCTGACTCTACCGCTGCAGAAGAAATGGCACTTACTTGGATTGGGTTATAACAGAGAGATCGATGTGAAGAAGATTGAGAGATCAGCAGTTATACATTTCAATGGACACTCGAAGCCGTGGACAGAGCTTGGGATAAGCAAGTATCAGCCTTATTGGACAAAGTACACCAATTTGGATCATCCTTACATCTCTAGTTGCAGGCTGTTCGAGTGAAGAAGATAAGAGAAGAGGATCTCGTTAGGTATATAAATAACACATAACATGTGATGTAAATAGTGAAGTTGTATATAAGATGAATACTTGAGAGTGATTGATCCATATGGCATTTATTGTTGCCTTCTTCTATAGTATCTCTCAATCAGTGAATGCATATAAAACAATGATCAGAGTGAACTGAGATCAAACTATGTATATAGATCTTACCGCAAAGAAAAGGCTGCTGAAGATTAGACCTTGAAGAAGTGCATCCGTCTATGCAGCACATGCAAAAATTCATAACCACAACACTCTAGAAACCTACTCAAAAATCAGAACAAAGCTCAAAAGTGGCAACTGAAAAAGCTAGGTAACAACACTTCATCATCAATAGTTTCACAAAAGTGGTGATTATATATGGAAACGTGAAGGTGTTTGAAGCCATGGCCATCAACAATGACAAACTCACAAAGGGTCCTCACATATACACAAAGAGCAAGTTAGACAAGGACCTTAGTGCCCATCTCTTGTCTTAACTCGTCTGGTTGAAGCTGAAAGAACATGATAGATAAAAAATATCAGAATTTGCAAAAGAGGCATATTTTATAATCACAATTTGATCCTGCTTCAAAAACCAATCTAGTATAACTTTATCTGATACTTATTTTTAGACAAGAAGCCTGAGCTGTTTAGTTTAATTTAGTCAGGTTTTCAAGAAGAAGAAGCTGCTTGAAAACCTGCCGTTTGATGATGGTTGTGAATGTTCCCTGTTTGCTTTTTTTTTTTTTTTTTGTCAACTTTCCTTTCTTTTATGGCAAAAGTCATGCGAGAGAGAATGATGAATGTTTGTCTGAGACTTTTTTAAAATTAATATCACTTGGAACACTCTATTAGAAGGAAAAATTGAATTCAAAAACAATGGTGACAAATTCATCAAATGAAACTTACACTATACATTATACTACTGCAACACATAAGAGTAAGACACTATCTTCTTCTTGCCTCTTGGTTCAGAGAAGTCAAACGCCACACACTGTATAGTCCTTATCTGAGCTAGCCAGCTTCAACCATCAAAAGCCACATTATATAGTCCCACCGTATCTGAGCAATAGACCAACAACAACAACAATCAGAAAAAATAACACAAACAAACAAACAGAGAGAGAGAGAAGAGAGAGGTGACAAAATAACATGACAAGAGTTGGTTTCTCTGCCACTTGAACATAGAGGGATAAATGAAAAAAAAGAGCTCGTAGATACACTCACAAAATCAACAGAGAAGAGCTGATAAAGCCGCCAATAAAGAAGGATCAAAAACCCAAAACAGCCCCATCATCGAGCAAAGCAAGCGCCATCCACCACAGCATCTGAAACAACAAAAACCACAACTAGATCGATCACATTGAACAAACAAATAGGCCAACGATGCAAGCTAAACAAAAACGAAAAAAAAAAACCAGAAAAAAAAAAAAAAAAAAGAAAGAAAACAGGGGAAATTTTATAATTGCAAGACTGATTTGGAGTAGGCTTAGTGATCATAAGTGTTCAAAACAAATGAAACATACTTTTTACATCTAACCATCTCATGAGACAGGATATCTGCTCAAATGTTAATCACAAATGTACACATATAAGTTTCCTCACGATCAAATCAAGTTGTAAATAACAAGACCGATTTGGAGTAAGCTAAGTGATATTTATAAGTGTTAGAAACAAATAAACATACTAACTCTAACGGACTCGTCAACAACAGTAGGGGACATATTCTGCTCAAAATGTTATCTCACTAATTTACACATAAGTTTCCTCACGATCTAATCATGTTTTTATAAAATTTCCCCTTCAAAACCTTTGAAAACGTTTTTTTTTTTGTAATAAGGATACTAAGTAAAGAAGAACACCTGATAAACCAATGAAGAACGAGCAAGGCATCGTCCATGGCATGGCTGAGATCAATCAATAATCATCCGTGTGAAAAGTGAAGAGTGAAAACACTTGAAAAAAAAAATTGCTTTTGCAGAGTAAAAAAAAGAATGAGGACAGAAGATAAGGTAAGATAAAAGATAAGACCATGTTCATCGCTGAAGCCATAAAAGAGTTTGATTACAAAAGGAGACACTTTGTTCTCTTTTTTAACACAATAAGACACATAGTAGTTGAGGGACACTTCCTCCTATTCTCTCCTCTGTGTTTATACCAATCTACCCTTTTGGTGTAGTTAAGCTTTGTTGTTATGAGTTAGTTTTTAATACTATATTATTCTGTCTGTTTACTTTCAACGAAAAGGAAAAAGTAATGTGTCACTTGTTTCCTTAAAAGAAACACATAACAACCGTAAGATATATTCAATCCAACGGTCGTGGTTTCCTCAGTTTGAAAAGTAGGTGAGCTCATAAATGCATGACCTTACCTCGTTTATGAAGACGCATGAGGTGGTCAACCGGTGGTGAAGAAGAAAACTTCTGTTTTGCCTCCCCATAGTTGAGCCTCTGTTTTACGTAATATTTCAAAAACAGTATGATAACAGAGTACATTTCTGTCTAATAACAGACATTGGTCGATGAGATTTTGATATCTTATGTTAATTTGTTGTTTTTTTCAGGAACTATCTTTTAGGATGGAGGACCAATGTTTGGTTCTAAGCGGGGAGTGGGTGTGTGGAGATGGAGGAAAATGGGATTTCATAATTGAGAAGCATCGTATGGGTCGTATGGTGCCTGTATATGAGGGCATTGGTTGTGTGGAGCTCGAGCGCAGTGTTCTTCGTGAGTTTGGAGTCGATGAATCCCGCTTTGTTGTTTCTTTGAGTTACTGGCCACCAACAACCGTGGAGCTTGCAACAGGGATTAGGACCCCACCGGTCCTGATAACAAGTGATGGGACTGTGAACTATTTCTGCAAACATTTGAAAGTAACAGGGGGGATGAACCTGTTTGCTAATTTTGCAGAAAAACGCAGATTTGTGGACGACGATGTTGTGGATGATTCAGGTTTGGGATTTGTGTCCCCAGAACCAGCAAGGTTTTCGTCTAGGTTATCTAGAGATAAATGTGATTCGGGTTTGGGGTTTGTGTCCCCAGAAGCATCAAGGTTTTCGTCTAGGTCATCTAGAGGGGGTTTCGTTTCATCCGCTGGGTCATCTAAGACTAAGGTTATAAACCTTGTGGAAGATGATGATTTACTACGGCAAGCTGAGAACTTGGAGAGGAGGTTGATGAGTGAGAGACTTAGAACAGATAGCAGCAACGGTGTGGATGACAGTGGTTTTAGTTCTGGAGCTAACACTGAAGGAGATGTTGTTTTGGAGGAGTTGGAAGTGCGGCCAAGAGGTTATGATAAAGACTTTTGGACGCCGTTATTAGATGGAGCATTTGGAGGTTCAAATGCTGTTAATGTTGTGTTTAATGAGGATGAGATATTTGAATGGCTAAATAAAAAATCAGGGCCAAGATCGTTTGTTGAGGTAGGGGGTCTAGCGGTGGTGATGGCAATGAAAACTCACCGAAGCCGGAGGATTATAATCCGTGGATGGGAGGTGGTAGTCCTGCTGAGGATGGTGTGAACTTGGGGAGACGCCCTGCTCGCTTATTAGGCGATGTTGATGACGAGGAGTTTGATATTCCTCCAATGTTTGATGATACTGAATATGATGTGTCTGAGATCCCGGACATGGATGTTGACGAACATGATGGTGAAATAGCTGTTGGAAAGGTTTTTGGCAGCAAGGAGGATTGTCAGATAGCTTTGGCCATTTATGCAATTAAAAAACAGTTTAAGTTTAAGCAGACTCGGACGAAGGTTGATTCGTTTGTTGTGGAGTGTCCCGATCAGAGGTGTGATTGGAGGGTAACAGCTCACGAGATTAGGGGGTGTGGCTACTATGAGATAAGGAAGGCTCAGCTTGATCATCTCTGTCCAATAGAATACAGACAAGGTTACAAGAGTAGAGCAACATCTCGTGTCATTGCAGCTGTGTACAAAGCAAAGTTTGGGAACCCTGGGAAGTGTCCAGTGCCGCGTGATTTGCAGAAACTTCTATTGGAGGACCTTCGTGTGGGAGCTTCGTATATGACGTGCTATAGGGCTAAGGAGAAAGCGATACTTGGGGTGCGTGGTTCTGATGAGGACGCATATCTGAAAATCCCTGAGTATCTGCATATGCTGAAGTTAGCAAATCCTGGTACAATTGCTGATCTAGAGACTGATGTAGACGACGATGGAGATGAACGTTTCCTATATTTGTTCCTTGCATTTGGGGCGTCAATTTGTGGATTTAGAAAGTTGAGGCATGTGTTGGTGATAGATGGTACCCATCTTAGCGGGAAGTACAAAGGAGTTCTCTTGACAGCTAGTGGGCAGGATGCTAATTTCCAGATTTTCCCGCTTGCATTTGCAGTAGTGGACGCGGAGGACGAGGATGCTTGGACATGGTTTTTGCAAAAAGTGGAGAGGATTTTAAGCGATTCCCCATCTCTTGCCATAATTTCCGACAGAGCTTCGTGTATTGCCAATGCTGTGAGTAAGATTTATCCCCAAGCGAAGCATGGAGCTTGCATAGTACATTTGGCGAGGAATGTGAATTCAAGGTTTTCAAGTAAGCACCTAGCAGAGATGGTGACAAAGACAGCGATGGCTCACGTGCCACGTGAGTACAAGGAACTTTACGGGAAAATTAGGGCGACTAACGCTGCTTGTGGGGTGTATTTGGCTAAAATTGGTACAGGTCGTTGGTCCCGAGTTAATTTCCCTGGTGAGAGATTCAATATAATGACAAGTAATATTGCTGAGCAGCTGAATAATGCGCTCTTGGAAGGCAGGGGAGGAAACATTCTTGAGTTGTTAAAGTTCATTCAGAGAATGATGACTAGGTGGTTTTGTGCGCGCAGGAGGAAGGCGGGGAAACACAGTGGGGCTGTTAGTATAGAGGTGGACAAAGAGATGACCAAAAATATGGCTAATGTTAAAGGGAGTTACATAAATTCTGTCAATGAGTGGACTTGTCAAATTTTGGGAAAATTTGGGAGGTCTGACAAGGTAATGCTAGCTGAGAGGAAGTGTAGTTGTAAGTATTTTGATAATATCAAAATACCTTGTGGACATGCTATACTAGCGGCTAATGGTCTTGGAGTGTCTACGGATACATTGTGCGGTCATTGGTATAAGACATCTGTGTGGCGTGAGACATATTCTGGTGTAATCAATCCAGATGAAGACCCAAGGGACGTGGAGATACCAGAGGAATTAAGAAAGAAGGTTGTATATCCTCCAAACACAAAGAGGCAGCCTGGACGTCGCCGGAAGACACGCATCCCCTCCACGGGAGAGATAAAGGTGAGGGTAGTTGATTTGTAATTATAATGTTCTGAATAGCGGTATTGGTGAGAAGTTTTGTTTGATTTGTATTTTTGTAGGTACCGAAGAAGAAAGTAAATCTGAACAAGTGTGGTAGGTGTAGGGGAGTTGGACACAACCGGACCAATTGCGTGTGTCCAATCTAAGCTTGGAGTTGTGCTGTTTAAGGTTTTTCGTAGTAGGTGAAGGAGATGAATTTTTTGTGGAGATTAAGGTGGATGGTTGTGGCGGATTATGTGGTTGTTGTTCTTGATGTAACTCTTTTGAAACAATTTAGTCAGAGCAAACAATTTTAATGTGGGTTGCATTGATGTTTTGAGGTTATGTGATTGTTGTTCTTGATTTTTCTCAGTTGAAACTATATTGAGAGGAAGCTTTGATTTTTTGAGGTTTTGATGAGATTATAAACTCAAAACAGTGTTTTGGGAGCATTCATTTTTTGAGGTTTTGATGAGATTAGTCTATATCAGATGCTTGTTACTGGATGATGTTGTCAAAGAATAAAGTGAATCGTGATTCTCACAGTAGACATAGCAGTAACAAAAATATGGAGGTGGACTTTGGAATACAAGTTCATGAATAACTTGAAATAGAACTAGTGGGAGATGTTAAAACTCTTGAAAGAAAAGCATTAGTTGAATTCAGGGGATAAGATCAAAATATTACCCAGAACAACAAACATAGTAACAAATACATTTAAACATAGATTAGTCATTTTTAAAAAAGAAACATAACTTGTAGAGAAAAGGCATTAGTTGGAATCCTAAACATAGTAGTAGACGATTAAAAGCTAGGGATATCATTAAAAACAGCTTGTTGTTCAGAGATTTGGGAGCAGATTCAGCTAGTCGGTAATCCTAGCATAGATCCATGCCATTGTGCCAAGTGTAATGGCTGCAACTGCGATGTTGGTCAATGAATTGACCGAAGAGGAGACCTGGGCGGGCGCGAGTGTATCTGTCAAAGCTGAGTTGTCCTTAGATTTAGTGTTAGCATCCACCAGCATTTTGATTTGTTGTAGGGTTTGCTGGATTTGTTTTGCCTGTTTTTCCAAAGTTGTTGTTGTGGAAAGCTTGAAATCGTCGACATCTTCCTTTAGTTGGGAGTGTTTTGCATCAACAATGTTAATTTCGTCGACAATTGCCTCATCGATCCACTTGAACAAGTGGTGCTCGTGTTTCCTCTGATAAAGAGATTATCTCGGATTAGTACAGAACAAAGGAAGATGTGTAATGAAGGTTGGAACTATGTGTACCTTTAGCCAGATCTCGCATCGGTAGAACCTTCGGAAGAGGTTTTCTTTTGTTTGAGCACCAAATGTAGTAAGGTTGGCTCCACACCAACAGCGAGTGGGGATTCCAGTTGTGTGTCTGCCTGTGTGTGAAATAGAGGAGGCGGTGGAGGAGCTCATGACGATGACCGTCGGCTAAGAATATTGGGAGCGGTTTAGGGAGTTAATCGAAAAAGTGTGAGGATTGTGAGAGTTTTAGGGATTTTGTTGGTGAAGATACTAAATGAAAATAGAACTTAAGCTGACGTCCGTCGTCATGTAGCGATAATAATACCTCAGTGGTTGTGGATGTGGACAGAATGGATTTGTTCTTCCAAACTTCATGTGGATGTGGACGGATTTGTAGGATGAGCGTAGTTGTGGATGTGGACACTTGTGAAAAGGCAACAATGACAATTTTTAAGTCGAGAAAAATGGAGAACCGTTTCAGAACTTAAGATACGTAAGACATTACCAAGGCTTTTGCGTGGTAATTTATAGATAGGTTTATGTTATTGGGGAGTTACATTGCCGGAAATTAGGTACAACAAAGAAGTATTCCAAAAGTATTCCGACAGTAGACATACGTTAGACAGAAAATGGTTATACGATAATCAGTGCAGTGGGTGCTAATCATCAGTGCAGTGGGCAGCATAGTATGAAGGCAGAACCATTGTCTTGTAGATGTCCATTGCGTACTGCTTGCGCATGTCGTCGACGATGTGGTCTGTGATTCCGGCCATTCCAGGCTGAGGATCACCATGTGCATGCAACTCTAGGAATTTCAAGGTAACAGGTCCGCAATCACCGGATCGGCCATTAATGTAGATATCTGGAATACGGCTGCAGATAAAAGGCTTGACACCAGTGAATTGGGTTAGATCACACATTGCAACTTTCTTAACAAGATAAGGGAGGATCGCCAACACGGGTTTCATCCACTTAGCCATGCGTCTAAGTCCGTTCAAAGCTGGAAGAGGATCAAGAACTTCAACCAATCCCATATCGAGGTTGATGGCTAACCCAACCCAGTGATTGTTGTTCCATAGCATAGGCGTGTAGATGGTTTGAACGTCCTCCATCCATTTCTTTCCAGGGCAAAGAACAATGTCCACCAAACGCTGGTCCCACGAGTAACTCTCCTTCTTCTTTGCCCCACACTTGTTGAAATTGATGAAAATCTCGTTTATAAGTGAAGCAAGTTTTGGTGGGGCGAAAGTAGCTTTTTCAGACTTAAGGATCTCAGTGTGTCTCGTGGAGAGCATGTGGACAAGAATTTCCATTTGCTGGTCAATTGCAAAAGATATGTGTTAGACAAAAAAAAACACAAGAATTTCCATTAGAAGCTCACATAGATATTGACTTACATATTCGTTTGTCCAGTGCTTAGGCTGCGCAATTTCGAGAAGAGATTTGTTTGTAAACTCGAATTGAAATGGAGTGCTATGGTACCTGTATCATCATGATTATATATGAAGGGAATAAGAGGAGATTGCAAATTCTTGTACCACAAGGAAGTAAATCTTACACATGGATGTTAGTATAACTTACACATCGATGTGGTTTTTGAGAATGCTTTGGAAAATGTCCCATTCTCTCTCTGGGAGAGGGGTGATGAGACCCAAAGCCGGAATTATTGGGGAGTTGAAAAATTCCTTTGCGAGAAGGTTCTCGAGCGTAGATGGAACGTATCTCGGTGGGTCTTTAGATGTTGTGAGATCGACGAAGGGATCCTCTGCAGCCTGATTATTTTCATGTCCAGTAATTGAAAAGTCATCAGATTTGTGGAGATATGTAAAATCGGTAGATCGGTCATATGTATTAAACACATACCTCATTAACAGAAGTGTGACGTCCGAAGGGAGGAGGCGAGTTGGACGAAGCTGTGGCTTTAAACGCATTGGGTGTTGTTGCGTGGGTTGCGAAACCAAGACCACTTTCATTGCTCTTGACCGGTGATGTGAGTGGAGTGAAAGGTAGTGGAGACAACCGCACCCTTTTTCCTGGAGGAGAAGATGGACCAGCCGTTTGGTCGAATATTGGACCTGTCGAATGTGGCGTCTCTGGGCTAACATCCGTTTTGTCGTAAATCCTGAGACCATGATATAGTAGGTGATTAATCTCGGGGCTGTCAGGGTGATCAGCTTTATCGTAGATTTTAGACGGTGGGTCCCACTGTCCTGGGTATAGTTTCCCAAAAGTTCTAGTCTCCGAGGACTTCTGAATGGGGGTAGTCTGGTCCTGAGGTTCATTGGCTGTCTCATTCTGGCTTGTTGTAGGTGACTGAGGCTGATGGTCCACAGGCTAGAATGCAAAGCCAAAAAGGGTATATGAGAGTGTGCAGCATGAGAAGCATATATTTTACATCGATTAGTGAAAATCACCTGGTCATCCAGATGATGCTGATGTGGGACAAGAACAAACATCTGGCACGCCTTGGAATTGTGGACATCCTCAGTGCCATGGTCAATATCATCCACTCCCTGAAATGTAGGTGGTCGAGAACGTACAATGATAATGGTTAAAAATTAGTCAAGTTATGTTATGTGAAAGCTTGGAAGACTGAACATCACCTGGTCGCCATCAGAATTTTGATCGTGAGTGTTCTGCTCAGGTGAGGTGTGGATGGTGTCTTGATTGTTTGCCAGATCATCCACATCCTACAATGAGAAAAAAAGGGTGGTTCATGTTAATAAAGGTGGTCTAATTAGTACGAACTGAAACTTGTAATTGAATGTGAAAGGAGGAAGGATTGAGCTTTACCTGGTCAGTGGAATTCATGTCATCCTCTGAACTTGGATGAGGTGAGCCGTGGATGGTGTCGATGTTGGTTTCCATACCATCACCATCCTAAAATGACAAACATGAAATGTGGTACATTAACAGTAAGTCAACTCAATTGCAGAAGGAGGATTCACGCATGAGTCAATGAAATTAACCTGGTCTCTAGGATTGAGTTCATCAGTGGTCAGACCAGTGTCCTCAGCTGAGAGATGGCCATTCGTGTTCATGTTTTCATTAGCCTGACGGTGGAGATGAGCTGCATACTGACTAATTATAGGTGAGTGGGGCTCCTCATGATCATCTGTAGAAGTAGCATCCAAATCCTATAGGGGACACAAAAAGAGAGTATATTTAACTTTCAATGAGATGGCTGGATGCGTATTTAACTTTCAATTAGATGGCTGGATGCGTATATTTAACTTTCAATTAGATCACCTTGTCAGTTGGCGGGTGGACATCGCTTGGTTTGACGTGTGAAGGATCAACACCGCTCTGATGTGAGGGAGGAACATCCTATAAGCATAAGTAACAGGGACAATAAGAAACTAATAGCAAAGACTGCAAGATTTTGTTAACTCGTGATACATGTTGGTCCAAATGAGATGTCCGATGATTCTTGGAACGAGATAGCAGTGTGTGAAATGACGATTTTCTTACATGAGATTTTCGACGGTGAGATTTTCTCTTCATCTTCTTTATATGTCTATTCATCTGTCTCATCTGCTTCTGAAGTTCTAACACAATCTCCGTAAGTTGTACGTTGGTGAAAGTGTTGGCATTTGAGCGTGTGAAGTAAGAACTTATGCGCCTTTGCTTCGTTGTAGAGGTTTCTTTCTTGATGACCGGCTTTGGTTTGAGAGATTGTTTTACACGATTGAGCTCCTTCTTCCCGTGACGGTGTCCACGATCTTGAGGCTGTTTTAGCAAAGGAACCGTTGTTACCCCACCAGGCCACATAGTCTTGTTGAAAGTGTAGCTCTCAGATATCAACTGTTCCATGTAAATAATTCGATCGTCCTTTGTTACATTGGACCACTCGCCCCAACCAGTCTCCGGCTGCCTTTCGATATGTATAACCGGTGAAACAAGAAGCTGATAACACAAATTAACAAAGTGGAATTTACCATTAGAACCGGTGAAACAAGAAGCTGGTAACACAGTTTAAGAAATTAATGTGGACGTGGACATAAATTAATAAGTGAATTGTTAGTTTGAGAAACAATGCCCTCAGTATCTTAATTTTTTTTAAAAAGGTAAACAGTAGAAATGAATACGCTAGTGGACGTGGTCATTAAGTAATCAGTTGTTAGAATGACCTAAGTGTAAACACTAGAATGACCTAACTTTAATAAATCATAAACACTAGCCCTGTCGAGAGCACAAAACGGGTTACTTACATTAGAGGAGAATTCGACACGAAGGATGTCAAGAGCACTGATGGAGCCGTGTTGCGGTAGGTAAGCATCTTCAAGGTCCATCAGCGTGCGGTGGTCGGGAGGAGCAGGGATGAACTCAAGCAGTTGGGGGATGGCGCGGAAGGCAACCAACTGGAGTGTAAGAGGGAAGCCCTGAAGACGAAAAGATTTCTGCTTCAGTTTGTGCACGAGCCAAGAAACAGGATCGTTTATCTTCGGTGGAGCAGGCTTGGGTGGTTTCATGCACGAGATGGTCTTGCAGAATGATTCTCTACCCCAAGGAAAGGCAAAGAAGGTTTGGAGGCTTGAAAGCATGCTGACATATCGAGGAGTGGGGCGGGGTACTTGTTTGTGGGCGATGAGAACACCGTCGACTATGATAATTAGAGCTATACGAATCCTCTTCCAAGCAGACATGTGCTTATCTTGCTCAAGCATCTGACAAAGCTCAGCTATAGTTATCATCTTCTTGTTCCCAAAAAGTTTCTTCCAAACTCGATCTTTGCCCGCAACAACTGACTTGGCTGTGTCAGGATGATAACCTTCTGGAAAAGAGCAACAATTCAGACCTGTTACAGTTTCAAACTCTTGGAGACCGTAACGAAGAGGGTTCCCACCAAAAACAGACCAGAGCGTGTGGTCGTCCTCACATAGTAGTTGTCGAGTGAGGAACGAGTGAATGAGCTTTGTAGATACTGGAGCTTGACGGGAAGGAATGTCGAATAGCTTCCCAAAAGAAGACTGCCGGATGGTTTTGAACTCGGGAGTGTCTCTGAGATGATGACGAAGGAATGAGAGGATCTCCGGCGAAGAGTATATGTTAAGTTTGTTGATGGGGAATCTATCAGTGGCAAATAGCCTCAATGGGAGACGCTGATCCGGCTGCGTGATTGCTGAAAGAGAATGAGACAAACATTAAAAAAAAAGTAAACGGATAGAAGGTCGTAAAAATCAGTAAACAATTTCTTCTTACTAACAGAGCAAAAATTATTGTTCTTCGCAATAAACAACAAAAAAAAATGGAAGAAAGAGATAACATAGAAAAATGACTGAAATGCTCAATTAGTTCTGCCGAAATCAACAACAAAACCAAGAAGGAACAGAGAGATAACATAGAAAACAAAGAGAGCAAAAAAAAATGGAACGGAAAAAAACTCTAGAAATGAAACGGCGAAAATTCCTAGAAATGAAACGGAGAGACACGGCGAAACTAACTCTCTTTGTAAATCAAAACGAATCGATACGGGTAGAGTTTAAACCCAGTTAAAAACAGAGATCGAAAAACAAAAAAAAAGAGACGGCGGAAGAATTTGTATAACAAATCGTTAAGGAGAATCGATAGGGCTAAAGGAGAATTCGAAACGGCGGAAGATTTAGGTTAAAAACTCAAATCTAAAATCAACAACAAATCGAAAAGAAGGGGAGAAGGATTAGGTCAAATACTAACCGGAGCGAGACTGAGCCGCGGCAGTTCTTTTCTTAGCCTGGGAAGACTTGGGTTTCTTCTTCGCCATTGAAGTCTGCGAAGATTCTGGTTTTACGGAAATCTGGATATGTCGAAGTTCGCCTTGGATTTTCGTTTGGATTTGTCGGACAGAGAAAAGAAAAGAAATTGAGATTAGAAAATAAAAGGAACCATAGTTAAGGGCTCAGGTTAAGACAACTCGTGTGTGGTGTAATATGAGGGCAAAATAGTCATTAAACGTCCATGTTGTGTTCCCCAAGTGGGAAGTGTCTTATCCAGTAAATACAAACTCAAATTGTGTCCTAGAAGGTAAAAAAATCTTCTTAATATTTGTTTTTTTTAAAAAAAAAAATTAAAAAAAAAATTAAAAAAGGAACAAATAGCAGGCTGCCACGTGTCGGACGGGCCCGCAAACAGTACAGAAAACCCCAATAATCGGTCCTTATTTGGTGACTTTGGTTACCCGTTTTTTGTGTATTGTGGGTCCCATTACCTTAAGAAACCCACTAAAACTTCCCGATAATCCTGCCCTAAGGTTCTACAAAATAAAATAAGAGGAGATGTTTATTTATAGAAGCCATCCAACGGTCGGAAAAATTAGATTTATTATTTCCTTTTTTCCATATTATTTCCCTTTATTCGATGTTCAAACGGTCACTGACTCCACTCTCCACCTATCGATTAAACTGCAAAAGTTAAATTACGTATTTGAAATAACTCAGTCAACAAACTATAACACCAAGTTCTAGCATTTATCATATGCTAATGGGCCTCAAGGCCCAATCCTTACTTTATTTTTACTTTTGCTTAACTGGCTGAGAGACATTTTACTTCGGCTTCTTTACCTCACAGCCGGAGCTATCCAAAAACGCACCGTAGCTATAAGCAAACGAGCTTGGTTTAGTGGGCCTTAGTATTGGGCTTTACTGCCCATCTAAAGTGCTCATGCATAACTACCTAAAAACGGAAACTATTTTTACAAACTTGGCGGAAAGCAGAGTTCGTAGAGTTACAAGTTTGTGAAACATCATCTCGTTTGCGTGCTTGTCTTGTCTCTCTAGTTAGTTGAAAAAAAAACTGGTAAAGGTCATTACTTTTACACCCATGGAAGCTAATGATGTTTCTCTCTTTGTCTCGTTTTTGGGGGTTTTTTTTTTCTTTTCTTAATGTTTGACTCTCTGTGTTGTCTAGCTTTTGCTTAGCTGAGAGAGATTATGCTTTTACTGTTCTGTCTATCTCTTTAACTCTAGAAATGGCGTCTTCTGCTCTTCGTAGTCTCTCAAGGAGAAAGCTTTCTCCAAAATGGTTCTGCAAGACCTCCTCCTCAAGCCCCCCTCTTGTTCTTCTTCATCATGATCATGTCAAAGATTATAATACTAAGCCCACCACTTTCTCGGATTCAAGTCTTCTTCGTTTTCACAGGCAAGTGTTCTTTGAAGACAGTAAGAATATGTCTTTTGGTCAACCATTAGGTGCTTCTTCTGGAGTGTTTCTATGTAGACACATCTCTTCCTCTTCTTGCAAACCAGAAGAATCGAGCATAAATATTGATGCCTTAGGAGAGGTACTTGTCCCTGCAGAGAAGTCAGTGGAAGCAATGTCCACTACTATAGATGGATGTAGTGCTGCAGCTATTGAAATTTTTTCTTTCCCTGTGAACTGCGTGCATTATGTGATTAATGGAATCCATGACCTTACTGGCTCCAACTGGTATCGACTTTAGTTGGTCTTTATGTTTGTTACTGCTCTGATGATTTTCTCACAATGGTTTGGTTTCTTACTCTTGTAAATATATAGGTTGATGTCAACTGTTATTACAGCTTTTCTGGTTAATGAACTCATGTCTCCAGTCTCTATGCGGCTTCAGAGACAAGCTGCAGAGTTAAATGTTAGTTTCTTTCTTTTCTTGTGTGCTTGCTTTTGAACCTTCACACAATTCTAGTTTTTTTTTTTTTTTGTAAATTAGTATTGGGGTAGGAGCATTCAGAAGGTGAGGAGAGTGATGCAGACATGTGATCCTGAATCTCTGGCTAAACAAAAAAAATGGGAAGCAGAGTGTAGACAAAAGTGAGTTTCCTTCCTTACACAATGTCTCAAACAATGATCAATGTCTCTCTTTGACTTTCTCTCTGTGGTTTAACTATTTACATCAGATTTGGAAAATGTTACAAGTCTTACCTGCCACTAAGCATATTTGATCTATTCATCAGCATCAGCTTCATCAATGGGGTAAAAAAAAGAGAGAGAATGAATTTGTTTATAAGTTCTCACTCTTGCCTACTTACTACTCACTATATTTATCTTCAAAACAGATTAATACCATGGCTAATAAAATCCCAGGGTTTACTGATATTTCAACTCCAGACAGTTTTTACATTCTACCTCTAGTGACAGCCTTAACCTTTTGGCTGACAAGACAGGTCTGAGAGAGATTAAATGTGGAAAAAAAAAAACAGACCATATGGTTTTGTGACACATAATCCAAACTAACTTTGATATGTTGTTTTTGATAGGCCACCACCATAAGCTGGACAGAGATTTTATTCAGAATGAAGGAACTCCCTTGGTATTTCCTTTTCTTCATTATGGTCCAAGCTGCAGTTAAATATGAACCGGTAATGCTATGCTCTCACAACATTGATATTTTTACCATTGCCTTGAATCCTGTGGTGCGTCTCAGTTTTATGTTATTTTTTTTGCAGGCAGTCTACGTTTACTTGATCTCATATAGAATATCTCTATACATATTATCCATGTGTAAGTCCCTCTTCTCTTCTCTTCTCTTTCTCACACTGTCTTTCTTGTTCAATCTAAAAACAGTAGACTCTTTTCTTTTCACACCAATAGCGTGTAGAAATAAGCAGGTGGCAAAGTTGAGAAAGGCACTGGGGTTGCCATATGATCCAGTAACGTTCTCTGAGGAGCAAAGGATCATGGCCAAAGTGATAAGTGTTATGAGGGAATTTCTTGACGTGGTGAAGAAGAAGAAAGACAAGAAGTGAATCTTTTATTGCTCTCATGGCCTTCAAATAAAAGCTACTTGACTACTCTGTATTCATCTAAAACTTATGGTACCTGTTTTTAGTTTTTGAACCTATCTTTTAGTGCAGACTTGACTTTAAAACAACAAAATCTAATCTATTTTTCGATGCATTGTTCTTGTCGATGCCAACACCCAACACTATATATATTGAACCCTAAATAAAAGCTAAAAAACATTGATAACAAATTAAATGAACCATGTGCAAATAAATGCATTGTGGGCACAATAAAGAAACTGTTTACATAAATATATAAAATCACTACGGACATTCATAATTTCTATAAGGACACAACATTAGGTTTCATCCACAGGAAACTCAGGATCTGCTGGCTTCTGAGGCAAGAAAGATAGCATATGAGGAAGCCTAGAGTTGCGTGCTGCTGCATTCGCCCTTACATTCCTCAGAGCATTAGAAGCAAACCTTGACGCATAAATGGCAGCACCTAAGTGAAGTTTATTACCTCCCGAATCATCTGTCTGAAGAGTGTTTTGTAGTCTTTCTTCTTCTTCACGTAAAGCCCTTGAGAGCTTCTTTCTACAGTATCTCTTCCATGCTGCTTGTATAAAACATGCTGCCCATGTCTGCCACTGCACTGAATAACACCTGGAAACAATTGGAAAAAAAAAAAAAGTTATTTAGGATTACAAGGTAACTTGAGAAACAAGTTACAAATTAGGTATTGGTTTTTGAATAAGTCTTATAACCTGTAGGTGTGACGTAGTTGCTTGCTATGGAGGCGACGGTACTGTGTAGAGAAGAACTTGAGATCCTCAGCGGAGAGGACAAAGCCTTCAACTTCTGTCTGAGCTTGAACGGTTCGAGTAGAGATAGGTAAGTGAGAAGTGTTGGGATCGAGTGCCCAAGTGAGAAGATCTCCACAGAAATCACCAGCTTTCAAATGAGCAGAATTGAAGAATCCGGTTTGGCCACCATAAGTAGTTGTGCTTGTAAGGTTTCCTCTCATTATAAACACCATATCCTCAACCGGTTCACCTTCACGCACAATGTAACTCTTCTCCGTGTACAGAACTGTATTCAAACGTGCGCAAAGTGCGTCTAGTAGCCGATCATCCATCGCTTTAAACCATGGTACCTTTTTGAGGAGATTCAAACAAAGATGGCGTTTAATGTCCTTTCTGAGATCTTTTGGGAGACTAGAGAGAAGAGTTTCTTCCTCGACTCCTCTGGTTTCTTGCCATTTATATTGTTCGTATTTACGGATACGTTTTCTCAGATCATCTGGTAACATACGGTGAGACATCCATTGCTCTGCATCTCTCCTTTTCACCCTCATTTCTTCAACTCTTACTGTTGTTGATTGCAAATATTTCTACAAAATCCAAAAAACAAAAGTTACATATTTATTCAGAATATATAACTGATTCATTCTTTAAATGCTCAAATAAGAAAAAATAATTATTTACCTGCATGTTTCCTATGAGAAGAGCAAACAAGACTAGTCCAGAGATACATATGATGATCGCGAATATGATCTCTCCTTCAAAGTCACTTGTCTTCAAGTTTTGCCCCAGAGCACTACACACAAAAGACAACACAAGACTATGTTATTAACACATACCTATAGTAATACTAAAAGTAGGATGCAAAAAATGATCATGTTCTAGTCCACAATGTAGTTATTATATAGTTATGAAACTCACTAGAGAGAAATGTAGATGAGAGTATAAAATGTTACAAACCTAAGATTGCGAAGACCCCACCAGAAACAGTAAAAGAACTTCTTAGGGAAGTCCATTGACTCCACAACTCCAGACTGCAACGCTTCAGCGAATATACCAAAGTTGAAAACCGTCGAGTTTTTGATTTCCTCTGGATCCATCAACGGACAAGACCCTATTAGATACTGACTATTGTCTTTCCCATCTGAACAGTACAAGTTCCCATGAACACATCCTTCTATTTTAGCACATGTTTCACGCCAACATCTATCTTTCCTTTCTATCGATATCAAGTACCAAAACGATCCAAACACATGGCTAGCTAACATGTAGAGGAATAGGTTCAAAGCAGCTCCAGCCCAAGCAGTTTCAGTTACCAAACCAGAGGTTCTTGTTACTTCTTTAAAAAGTGGATAGATCCTTGCAATCCTTGGAACATATTGACAAAATATAACCCATTTTAACAGCTCTTTTGTTACCAGTGACGCAGGTCGACTCATCCTTGGAACAACAGCTAAAACCACTACCTGTAAACGTTCAAAATGTTTTAGATTCAACCAGCATTGATCTTGAAGTTAGATTTGAGAGAGTAGCTAAACCTGAGGAATAGGGAGAATAGAAAGAACATCAATTATAAAGTATGACTTGAGGTATCTCATAGCGATTTTGTTAGAACTCTCAACAAGCTCTCCTCTTCCAAAACCACGAGAAGAAGGAGCGATGAAGCCAGTATGAAACTGAAACAACATGTGAACCACATAGAAAGCGTCGATGAAAGTGCGGAAAACACAAGCCACTGCCTCCAGTTTCTCGTCTAGTCTAAGACAGAATCTGTTTGGATCCACCACGGGGATGTAGAAGAACAGAGGATCAAATGCTAACGCTACAACACATAGTAGCAAGAAAATCTTGTTCCAGTTTTGAAGATACGAGTCATTAGGGTTCATCACTCCTAATACCTTCTTCTTGTTCTCATTCTTCTTGGGAGCATGAAACGTTAATGGCTGCTGCTTAAAGGTTCTGATCTTCTCTGATCCTTTCTCGAAGCTACGTCTAACTGTTTTTTTTATGACTGAAGTTACTGATGGTCTAGTAGGTCTGGTCCAAGAATCTTCATCTTCAGTAATCCTGTAATAGAAATCAAGATTACTAAATAAACTCTTAAGTAACAAGACTAACAACAAATCCAACTGATACATACTTTACAAACTTGTTTCTTTGGAGATTCATCATCTCCATTTCCCCTTGAATTCTTCCACAGATTCTCAAACCTGTGAAAAATAAAAAAATATACTATCCATTTTTATTTGATTATTACCACGTTTTAAAACTACAGTAACTACTAAAGACCCTAAACCATCTCATCTTCTTTAAGATAAACAGAGTAATTTGACCAAACAGAAGCAAATCAAACGTTGATTAAAGAGGAAGGATCTATAGTGTTTTTACCCTTAACTGATGAGGTTCTTGGAGGATGAGCTTAAAGATAAGCCGACAGAAAATATAAAAAAAAGGAAGAATGATTACATCTATTTCCTGAAATGGAAGGAATGAAAGAGAAGGGTTGAGGATAATGATGGTTCTAATTTAGTGGAGGTGGTGATGATATAGTAGTACTAGTTTAAGTTTTATGCAGAGTTATACATTGTTGAAAGCTAAATAGATGAAGAAGGATGACAGAGGTATTTAATAATAGTAATAAATTTAAGAAAATGAAAAGATGAGCTGACTTTTGACGAAGACTGAGTCAGTCAACCCCCCCAAAAGACAACAATTCCATTTAGTTTTTTCCTGAGACGAATAAGGGTAGCAAATTACATGCTACGTGGTAATCTAATTAAATATAATATCTATATAAATAGTATGATCATCATTACTTAAGTAGTGATTGTGTTAGGATGTACTTCATCAACTCATCATTTATGGACGTACCAACACACATTCATGAATCATGATGATGAATGACTTTAGTAGTGTACTCTCTAGTTTTCTATCTTGATTATTGCATTATATGGACGTTTTTGTTACGCATTAATTCATGGACTCGAGGGTTTAATTTTATGAACACTTGTATATGAATTCTTGAATCCGCAAATGTTGATTAGTCTAGTCTACCTATATGCCAAGAAATATCCATTTATTTTTCTATTACAATCAGCAATAATTTAAAGGTTTAGTACACTTGAGGAGACTTTTCAATTTTTTGGGGTGGTAAGTAATACGTCATTTTCACCTGCAAAACAAAACAAAACTAGTAAGGATGAAAGAGATGAGATACATACTCAAGCTACTAAATAACATTATGAACGGTCCACAAAGAAAATGGGGGGAAATAGATATAGATTACTGAGACATATCATTATACAATGATATGGTCTCTACTTGCTTACACATTCTCAAAAAAAGAAAAAAAAGGTTCAAATACAACTGAAAATGGGGGGAAACAGATATAGATTACTGAGACATATTATTATACAATGATATGGTCTCTACTTGCTTACACATTCTCAAAATAAAAAAAAAAGGTTCAAATACAACTGATTACTACTAACCAATTAATCTTTTAGTCAGGAACAAAGAGATCATGAAAACCCTATGATTCATTTTAGGAAGTTTTCTATTATAAGCTGAAAAGCCAGGAACCAGTAACACCTTCCTTGTTTGCTTAGTTGCTATTGATCAGAAGATTATCATGGCATGACTAAGACTTGAGATTAATGGGAACTAAGGCTTGTCTTCATCTGACTGAGGACATGAAGGCCCTGGGATCGAATCCACAAAGAATTCCTCTACAGAATACAGTGGGAGACAGAAGAAGATTTTGGTTAGTGACTGACTATATAATAGTCATACAACATGAAAAGCTATTATAAAATCATCTACAAGCAATCCAGGTTACCAATGTCATCTTGTTCCGGAGAATCAAGTAAAATCTCTGAATCAGATGGTAGAAATGGGGAACCAGGATAGTTTCCTAACGCTCCTAGATCTGTAAATTACATCATCTCCATTAGTCAGACACAATCTAGGGAGTGTGTAGAACAGCTACTTGCATTATTTATGTTTCTAGAGACCAAAACTATAGAAAAAAAAACATACCTCCAAGATTTGACAAATCAGCAGTGAGATCAGAGAGGCTAAAGTTCCAAGTCATCTGATCAAATGGCCTGAGATTGTCTCTGGAATTTCCAGCTCCTCCATCTGGTCCAAGCTGTAACCCCACTGAAGTCCCCACATCAGATGTGAAAGCAGAATCAAGAGCTGACGTGTCCATTCCCATGCCTGACATGTCTGAAGCAGCAAAAGGGAAATGTCCACTTGACGCCACGGAAGCTGGACTCACTGGCATCTCCGACACTGATGACATACCATTGTTTGGTGGAATCATTGGAGTTGGATCAGCCACAGTTGTATCTATTACCATACTACATCAAACAACAATGAGGAATCAGTAAAAAGACTTTGCTAAGACTAAGTTAATGTCTAACTGGAAACTTGGTTCTTACTCATTCCCTGAGTTCATCCTCATTGGTTGGAAATTCCCAGGTGCAGGGACACCATTAACCACGTGACAGCTCGGCATTCCTAACCCCATTGGATCAAGATGGGGATGATGACCTGGAGCATGCATTTGAGGATGTTGTAGTACTGGGTATCCCATGGGCATGTTGTTAACTGCGCTACAAAACTTCTAGTGTTAAACAACATTGAAAACACAAATAATAAAGATGCTTTGATAGAAGGAGTCAGACTTTACCAGGTGCCATGGGGTGAATCCCGTTCTGCATTGGGACCAATGGAACTTTTGGATGAACAGGATACTTCATGAGGTGATACTGGTGCTCAAGCAAATGATTGAATACAATAATCTGCTTCTTCAGTTTCAGTCTGATGTAATATGCTCTGAAAAAATCTGCGTTCTCTTCTTCCAGTTTCTGCCATACTAAATTCAACAAGAAAGTTTTCAGAAATGGGCATAATAGCATAAAGAGAGACATCCAACAACGATCAAGAACCTTACCTAGAGTTGTGAATCCAGGGTCAATTCTTGCACGGGTCAAGAGGGTCTTCACGACCTCATCTCTGTTCATGTACAACTGTAGACATCTCTCTATCAAATTTTGGACCTACACAAAGGAGGAGGTCACATGAGTAGACACGCACACAAGTATGTATATATAGAGAAGGAAAAGTTCACTTACAAGTTCAATATCTTGCCTTGAAACTTTCCTACCGTCATTACTTGAGGCAGAGACAGAACCAGAATCTTGAATAGGAGCTTCTAACGACTGGTTGTTTTTCTGTTCGCCTTGGGACTCATGTGAGACTTGTGTAGAAGACTGCATCTCCTGTGTGCTCTGCAAATCCCAAAAAAAAACTTTTGTCTTATTTTTTCACTTCTTTGTCAGTCCAAAGCATTTATACCACTGCTACAACTTTCACAGTCAACCATACCAAATATACTAAGGAAGGATCTAGTATTTCCTAAAATGAAATTTATATCATGGTCCAACTTCCTATATAAGTAAAGCATTGACCTAATCCTCAGATTTTATTACTGTTTAGAGACAGAAAAATAATCTTTCAAAAAGGGAAACATCTCAATAGTAGGAAATATCAAAATAGAGAAAGTTGCAATTTCAACAGAGAATAGACTAAAGACAAAGAAACATTATAACAAGACGGAAAAAAAAAGTTGGTACACTTGTTATAGACGAACCTGTCCGTTCTTCATTAGAGCTGAATATAAACTATTCAATAACAACTATTCTCCTTAACAATGTTCCATCTGGACACGCATGTTTCTAACCTGGATAGATAAACTGTTTAGTTAAATCCCAACATGTAAGACAATAATGATTAGAAAAATAAATAATCTTGATAACAAGCATGAAAAGATGAGTTTTTTTAACATTGTTTAATAGTAATCTAGATGCCAATTAGGCACACACACTCATCCTTGATTAAAAACTATTCTCCTTAACAATGTTCACAACAAGCTTAACATTTGGGTAGGCATGTTTCTAATGTGTTTTGACCAAATACAAACCTGGATTGATATAAAACTATATAGTTAATTCAGTATCTTATAAAAAATGATTAAAAAAAGAAGAAAGAACGCATCTTTGACACTACTAATGATAAGGAGCATGGAAAAGTGAGTTATTAAGCATTGTTTAATAAGAATCTAGATGCCAATTAGGCACACACCCACACTACAGAATCTAAGTAAATAATAAAATAATTCATACAGTCACCACAGATAAATAAACCTAATATCTTCAAACTATTAAGTTCTATAAAGACACACAAAAACAAAAAGTCTCCTGCTTTAGAATCATCAAACTCTAATAAAAGAAGGAAACTTTACTATTCATAATAGCAAATCACAATCTGCAGTGACTGTGAATCTAAACCCTAATAGATTGTTACCACTTCCGAAAGACAAAAGCATATGATATATTCACGAATCTAAGAAACCAAACAGATCTAGCAAAGAGAGTTGTTGATTTCCTCAATGTTTTGTTTGTTTCTTTTTTTGATACCTAAAACAAATCAAATGAACAAATAAAAAAAAAAAACACGACAAAGATCATCCGACAAGAACCAAAGCCTTCTCCTCACCTTAAATATTCAGACCGAACTCAATCCCACACTTCCGACACAGGTTTTTTTCGACGAATTTGTTAAGAAAGAAAATCAAAATACTAACAAGTTCTGTCAAAGATTCAGAGGATATGAAGAAATCGGAACCAGATTTAGATAAGTCGAAGAAGTTCGTTTGAACAAAGATCTGCGCGTATGTTCTGAGAGGGAGAAGATAAAGAAACATCAAAAGAGAAAGAGATTTAGCTACGCCATTACTGATAAGCTGAAACCTTAAAGAGAAGAGGAAAAGGAAGCAATTAGTAGAAGTAGAAGTAGAAGAAGAAGAAGAGAACCGCGAGGAGAAGAGAAAAGAGAATCTCACCATAATTAATTTTCATTTATTTATAGTCTTTATTAGTTTACTTCATTAATTGGTTATTACTACTGTCTTTTTTAACTTTTAACTAGCTTTCAATATTTACTAGAACAAAAATTACGGCTTCGTAGTCTTAGCTTGGCTCGGCTTCACTGACGAAAGATTGTAATTTATAAATTTACTGTTGTAACGCTGCGTATGAATAATAAGAAAACAAATTATCGTTTGTAACGGTGATTGTATTAGCCAATAATTTTCACAGCAGGCAGTGTGTATCACAACACTCGAGATCTCTTTTAATAATTTTTTTTTTTTATAAAATGCATCTCTATATATTATGATATACCGATTTACAGAAATTATTGAGAGAAATGTGAAATGTAAAACAGCTAGTGAAAGGTGATGCTAAGTTGGTGAGTGTTGGATGTTACGAGATGGCATGGACCTCCCCACTGTACTCTCAGTCTCCGGGAATAGCATCTCTTTCTTTCTTTCTCTGTTTTTATTGTGTATATCTCTTTAGGACCACTTTTTATTATTTTTTGTATTTTTCTAACAACAAAATGCTGAAAAAGAATAAGAAGAAAAAATCATATCATATCATACACAAGATCTCTTGATTGCGAGCTTATTGTATTATTTTCCTTTTTATTTGTTTGCAAATGATATACAGACATGCATGTCTCCTTTATGTTAATTTTTCGTATTAATTTATATAATTCTGTTTAAATAGTTTTCTTCAGCTATGTTCTATGTTATTATATATATGCTATCATAGAGAAACCTCCTTTTCACTAATGGGTGCTCTTATTTGTTACAAACTTCAGTTAAATCATATTATAATATATAGTAACTTGGGAGATACTAAATATGTGCTTATGTATAAAAAAACTGAATGTGCAGAGAACTTTTGTTTTCAATAGAGATATAGGGAGATAAGTTTCAAATCTAGAACCTTGTCTATATCTTAATTTTCCAAAACGGTATTTAACCTTTGAGACGTTTCAAATTAATTTGTACTCTTTTGAAGACACTTATTGCTTGTAACTTGTGACTTTGTAGTTATCAGCAAGTCGGTATTAATTGTTTTTGGCATTTATACAATGAAAGTTGAATTATTAATTTTGTAGCAAGCTGAGTAATTTACAAGTAAAGCCGGCTTAGGAGCCGTCACGAGCCACGCACTTGACTCACGTGAACCCAATTAAAAAAAAATAACAGTCACTTGTTTAATAAAAACGCATGAATTTAATGAAACAGACACATTCGTTCACCAATTACGTTCAGTTCCATTAATCCTCTGGACCCACCAACTAAATATTGAGTTTCGTCACGGAAAGTTTTTTTTTTGCTTCAGGTGCTAATCCATTAGTGACACGACACGTGTAATACGTTCGCCGGAGAAGTTAACGTCGGAGAAGCTGGCCGCCGCGTGGCATATAGATGCTGACAAACTGGGAAGAGAGCGGTCATTGACACGTGGCAGTAAAGGAGAGGAAAAGCGTGGAGAGTGCTTGACCATTTATCGCCTTGGGATTTGAGACTTTTTATGGGGTAAAATTGGTAAGATGAGTCAACAACTTTGATAATTTTTTTTCGTTTACGTAAACTGAGTCTGTGTTAATTCTTAAACCACGTAAACACCTCTTTAAACCGATCAAATTTAATAATTAAAGATTGATTGATTGATAAGTTTATGGTTTAAGCACTTGAGCAATTTTATTATAAGAGACATAAGTCTTTTCAAAAAAGTTGGGATATTCGTGAGTAAGTATAGTATATTTTTTTTTTTTTTGATAAAGGGCTGAGTAATAGTATAGTATATTACATAACAATTATTTATACCTCCTTGATATATATGTTATCGATATGAGAATAAATGTAAAAGAAAACAATATTATAGCAATCTAATGATGTCACTGTAAGGTAGCGTTTACATTTTACTTCCCCAAATATGTTGTTGTTACCTGTGTGATATAAAATGGCATGCATGGGGCATGATGGAACCTGAAAATAATGGAGTGGTGACTGGTGAGAAGGAAGGAACCGATCGAGAGGACCTTCTAGCTAAAGTTTTGTCCTGTCTACAGAGAATTTACCTTAACAAAGAAAACTCAAACTAATAGGCATCCCATGGACTGATCCTTATTTTAAAATCAAATCTAGGCAAAAGAAACATGTAAATGTCTTTTTATATCTTGCACTATATGCATAGTCTAGTTGTCAATGTCATACTCAATGACAGACCTCCCTTTACATAAACACTCATGGGCTTTTCAGTATGGGCTCAGCTGCACAGAAGGGTCGATAACACTTCTAAACAAACATAAAGACCCATGTAACTTTTTAAGGCCGACGTATAACATATGCTTCGTGTAAGGAAAAACCCATATAGCTTGTGTCTTGTGACATACAACATTTACCGTAGAATTACAGAGGATACAAATCACAAGCTTGGCATGTTTCTGTTTTGGTTATTCAACTCATCTCTATAATGTTTTAGATCATACATTGAATTGATAGATTGTTCTTTTCCGTTTGTCATAACGTAACATTTACCAAAAAGTCAAGTAGAGCAGCTATTCATTTTATAGACTCATCTCACCTTTGCAATCTGAAAAGAAAAATGAAAAATCATTTCAATCTCATAGTATATTCTAAGTCATTTTACTTGATTAAATATCATATCATTGCCCGCACATGTAAAAGTGTACTTGTTGGTAGATAGTTGTCTGATTCATGCCTTTTTCGAGTCAAAGCTTTATATAGAAACAAATGTGCTTCTTCGTTCCTCATCTCATTCCATTTGGTCTAATTCCATTTGTGACATAGTAATAAAGAGAAAACCGTTGAAATATAGGAATAATCTAGTCTCGAGGTGCGGTTAACGCACATTCATAATCAATACTCCCTCCGTTTCATTTTAATTGTCATTCTAAGGTTTTACACACAGATTAAGAAAACATTTAATTTTACATATTTTTAAGATAAAAACACAATTACCTATACACCTAACCACTTTTCAACCAATAGAAAAATAGAATATCATATAAAACTAATAAATTTTACCTCGAAACTCTAAAACGACACTTATTTTGAAACGAAAAATTTTCTCTAGAATGACAATTATTTTGAAACGGAGGGAGTATAGTATATGTTAATTTTTTTTTTCTTAAATAGCAGAATAGTTACCGGACCACATCTGACCACGCAAGAACTCACAATTCGCTGCATGGTAGTACTTTACCAACCTTTCACGACACTATTATCAGACCAAAAGAATATATGAAAAATACATAGATATTTGTTCTTGCGAACTAACTATATTTCTTTTTTTTCCTGTGCTTTTCCTCTCTTCTTTGATTATAATACTATTTTTTTATTTTGGTGTTTTCTCCCACCAAACTTTCCTCTTTATATCAAACTTTCAAAATGGAATGTCTGAAATTTTGCTTGCAAAAGAATCATAGTGTTCTTAGTATTGAAACTACGATTGTAATATATCATATCGATTTGACAAAGTGTTCTTTTTCATCTACATGATGCATTATAAATACAAGAAAATCTTTGTATTGACTATTTAGTAATGTAAGTTGCACATTATTAATTCATTTAACACCAAGATTTACAAGAATAGCATTCTGCTAGGGACATATTCGTATTTTCTAAAGTCAAACACAGAGAAGCTCCTTCCTTGCTCCAACTGTTTGTAAACGAGAAAAAATTACAACCGCAAGTCAAAACCAAGGTTTGAAGATGTTGTTATATACAAAAACAAGTAAATAAAAGTAGTTATGGTTGTATCTGTCGTTCTTCTTTCTGATAGAAGGAAGGCCGTTGAACCAAATAGTGTGCGAAAGGGCATAACTACAGTGTACAGATTCGTTTTCTTCTGCTCGTCGAATTAAATTACTTGTTATTAAACAGTTTATTTGAATAACTGAGTATGATAATATTAAATAAATAAATATTCTTGGAATAAATCTGACACGCGCAGCTATAAAATAATATGTTTAGTTTTCAATTCTTTTTCGAGCCCCTCTCTCTCACTCTTTCTTTCGAGGAACAAAGAAAAAAGCTAACCATCTCCTCTGTTTCTCAAGATCTCTTCTCTCTTTGTGTTCTTGTCGAAGAAGGCAAATTATTTGATCTTTTTGTTCCGACAAGACTGAAAAAAATGGATAGACGACGCAGAAGACAGAGCAAGGCCAAAGCGTCTTGTTCGGAAGGTGATCAGCTATTCTATCTATATCTACCTCTCTGTGTGTTTCTTTGGATTGAGTCTGATGTTTGATCGTTAGCAGAAGTGAGTAGTATCGAATGGGAAGCTGTGAAGATGTCGGAAGAAGAAGAAGATCTCATTTCTCGCATGTATAAACTCGTTGGAGACAGGTAAGCCGTGGTCGTTTTATGAATCTTATTGCTTTGCTCTAGTATTATATTATTGAACCGAGAAGAGTGGCTATGTTCAGCCTCAGGTTTGATCGATTTTCTTTAAGAGTCGTGTGTAAATCATATTGTTTAGCAAACACACATTCTTGCTTATGGTAATCTATAAGTAATTCTAAAATGTTTCTTCAAAATTTGGTTTGTATTTAGATTATGTGAATGTTTACATGAAGGAAGAAAATGAGTTAGATTCTCCACAAAATATTGGTTTGGTCCAGATATATTAAACCAGATTAAAGAGTTTGGTTATGTAAACTATTATGTGTGTGGCGTGTAGGTGGGAACTGATAGCCGGGAGGATTCCGGGACGGACGCCGGAGGAGATAGAAAGATATTGGCTCATGAAACACCGTGTCGTTTTTTCCAACAAACGAAGAGAATTTGCTAGGAGATGATTTTTTCGATAAAACAAATATTTGTCCTCTCCTGAATTTTCACATGGCAAGAAAAAAAAGGAAAAGTAGATGTTCTTTGAGTTTACTAGTTTTGTAATATATAATTAATCTTTCTATATATATAATTTTTCTTAGGAGCTTCAATTTTATTTATCATAGGTTTAGGTTGACATCCCTATAAATGAGTTCAACAACATTTCTCTGCATAGGCGAATACTTTAATTGAACAACCCTTCAAAGTTCAAACTACAGTACTATTTATACTATTTTTTAGTGGCTAGAAATTTTGGATAAGCTAGAAAACTATGGGCCAGTTCGTGAGTCCATTACTTTGTCACAACGAGGAAACCATACCTCAGGCCCGGAATGGAAGCCTATTTCTCACTTAAATACTTTTAAGAACAATTATGATTAGGGTGACCCCCAATTTCACAGCAGTAGACATCACATGCATGGCGTTATTTGATTCACAGCAATCATGACGTTATAGGTGTAGCGTACTGTATCTGCTTGAGCCTGTAATTTTCACTTAAACGAAATGAACATTAATTAAGTCGAATACAAAGTGCAAAGATTCTCTTTGATCAGTCTAATTTTTTTATCAACTGGATTTGTCGAATGATTCAAAACTATATAAAAATGTCAAACTTTATTATTTGATTCCGAAATTCTCATACATTTAATACTTTTTACAAGTACAGTGTGCTTCTCTATATAAAATCTATATAATTATGTGGCCGTGTAGATTTTCTGTTACCCATAGCGATGCTGAAAAACCCGACAATCTTTAATTTAATCTTTAAGACAAATACAATGAAAGTATTAAGACGTTTTCCCACGTGCTTTTTTGAAAAAGACTGTGTGTGTTCACACTTGGCGTGACTAACACTGCTGATTTTTAGTGATTTGTTGGTATTATTGGTACTATTGTTTTTAATTATTTACTCAGTGCATTCGGAATATATGATTTCAGTTTGTCACCTCGTTAGGTACTAAACAAAATTTGATCTGTGAATTTCATTTGTATAAAGTCCCAAATACTCTCCAATTGGGTTTGACCTGTAATATTTGAAATGATATAATTATGTTTCGTGGCAATTCTCCACTGTAAAGCCAGTTTACAGAAAATAAAACAATTCTCCATTGTTAAACACGTATCCGAAGTAAAAACCAAAAGGAGAGACGCCAAAAAAGTTCTACATATTTACTTTATCAATCAGTAAAACTAAAGTTGTTTCATAACACTTAAACACGTTTTTCATCAAGCCTGAGAAACAAAATAATTGCATTATAGAATACAAAAGCAGTGTTTTGGAATAGATTAGAAAAATAACCAAACTTAAACACAAAAGATATATAAAACGAAAAGCTTAACACTATAGATCTTCCATTACCAAACAAGGATGGATGGTGTCCATCACCTCACCAGCTTATCGCTCTAGAAAGGTTTGCATACCTTTGCTAGCTCTGTGTATTATTATGTTGAAAGCTTAATATTAATCACTAGTCACTACATTGTCCAGACAACAAAAATTACTGGATGCCAAAGAAAAGAAAAAAAGTTCAAGCTCCTACAGTCTTATGCCGTTCGGCCTCAAACCATTAATATAGATTTACCTCTATTTGTAGTTTTGTACAGATGATATTTTTGATCGGTGTGATGTGACCTTGTGGGCCTTTAAAAGAGCCTTATGTCTTTGTCTACGCGCTCCCATAAGGCCTTTCTTGGAAATTACCAGGTTCTTTCCAAAATTTCACTGAGATTTTAGTTTTTTCTTGTACATTATCATCATATACAATTACTTACATGGATCTCCAACTATTCTGAATTTCAAATGTCTTTTGGTTTTTATCCTCCCTGTTGATATGAAAATATTGTGGTTGGAAGTTTCGTTTTCTCAAGGAAACCATCACTAAAATTACACATTTCATTTTGTGTGCTTTACCAAATTGTCATGCAGCATAATGAACAGAAATAAATTTGGTTTGGGGTCTTCCGACCTTAGATCATCATTTCTGTATAAGTACCAGTCGTTGACCATGCACTACATATCGATACTCGAATTCTTTCCCTTTCAAGTTGAAGATAGATAAGTTAATTTAATGAACACTGATTTATGGCTAAAATACTTTAACACTTTAAAATATCTTCTAATCAATAATTAAAACAAAACAAATCAATCATATAATATGGATGCTAATTAAGCTACAACCATTATAGTTCTGGTGGATGCACTCATTAAAAACTAAAAAGGCAATGTTAAATTAACGCAAACAAATAATTAAGAACCACTGCACTGAGACAAAGTTTAAAACATATCTTGCTGTTTATACTCGTTAGATGTTATGAATCTGAAGTAACAACAAACTCACAGGTTCAGTACTTTAAACCACTAGTCATATAGTCCATTTATGTGTGATTAGTTAATTTATAATTATGAATAAAGTAATTAGTCCATGTGCACGTATATGCCACTCCACAATCAGATTACTTAATTAGGTGAGATCATTATCTATTCATTTGATCAGACGCGTAGGAAAAAGAGTAAACGCGTTCCTCTGGGCATTAAACATCCAGTTGAAATACAAATGTAAAGGTATCTAGTGAACCTCTATCTACCAGCAGCCTCTGATCACTATCTTCCAAAAAATCATTAGTTTACTTCTGACTCAGAAAGCTACAAGGTTGATTACCGAGAACCATGGAATATACAGTAATGTGGTTGTATTATCAATATTATCTACTATTCATCGTATACACGCAGATATTATACTGTACGATGAACACTGCCAAATGCATAAAGCCACAGTCAAAAAAGGTATCTAGAATTTAAATTTGTTTTGTATCCTATTGATCAATTCTATGTATTCAAATTATAGAGATCGGTTATTTTTATAACACATATGGAGAAGGGATCATTAAGAACAAAAAGCAATACGTCGCTGTTAATCGTGTGAAAGGGAGAGGCGCATTAGTATATATTCTCTAATCCACACCTGCATGGTTCGATTTGATCCATAGATTCTTGAATTTACGTTTTAGGGTACTATAGTCGTGATCTTTGACCCACTTATAAAAACATAATTAGCTTTTCGCTAAAAAGAAGCATAATTAGTTGCATAATCAACATCATACATACAATTCTTGATATATTTTATTTAATCGAATAACTAGAATGTAAAAGTATGACTATAAGTGATCATATTGGCATGACATCAGCAGCCCTTACGTCATTGGAAACCAAAATTAATAAATTGAACCGGATCTATAACGCGGTTTGAAGTTTGAAGTTTGAAGATGATTGTTTTTTATGTACTCGGCTGAAATGTTATAGCCACCAAATAAAAACAAAATAATTGAAATATATAAAATAAGATAAACTGATTGAGTGAGACTTCATCAAACATGGGGTTTATTGTGGTCAGGGAGAGATAGTTGACACTTTATTTTTATTTTTTATTATATGTAACTCATATGATCAATAGTTGATATCATCTAAAAAGATTATAAATCTAAAACTTATACCTTATAGATGTTAATTCGAGTAAGTAGGTGATATGTGTTTCTAAAGAAAACAAACAGATACTAGTATCTCTACTAGTAACCACAAGCTCATACATTTTCTTGTATCATTTTGAGAATATTAGTAGTTACCTTTTTGATAATTTCTCAACAAGATCCTTGTCTTTTCCACACATCTTCTTGACTAAGCTTAAAAAAAACAAAACAAAAATAATATATAAAAGAAAAGCAAACTTATTAGGCAAGCACAAGGACATAAAATCACACCACAATAGATTCTTATCATCATTCATTTATATAAATACACAAGACACTAACATATCATCAAACTCACTCAAAAAAGAAATACAGAGAATTCAAAAAAGAAAAAAAAAAGATTCTTAGTTGTTTTGTAAGTGAAAACAGAGATGGTGATGGAAGAGAAACTCGTGATTAATGAACTGGAACAAGGGAGAGAGCTTGCGAAACGTTTGATGAGCAATCTCAAAGACACTTCTTCAGTTGAATCCAACAAAACATTGATCTCTGAAATCCTCAGTATATACCAGAATGCTATTTCCAGGCTGAGCTCTAAAGAAGGCGACAAGAACATCATCCTTAAGCGAAGCCGTGACATCGATGACAAAGATTCTAAAAACATGTTTAAAAAGAGGTAAACAGAGTGATTCTTTATCTGTGTTTGTGTTTCAAAATTGAGATCTCATGGTGTCTTGTTCTTGTGATTTGCAGGAAAGTGTCTGAGAAGAAGACAGAGAAAGTTAGTTTCTTTGTCGGAGCAGGGCAAGAAAAGGGCTCCATTGATGATGGTTACTGCTGGAGAAAGTACGGTCAAAAAGAGATTCATGGATCCATAAACCCTAGGTATTATTAATCATCAATTATCATCATTTAATTTTTTAAAATTTTGATGTTTTCTAAAAGATTTGCTAACGTACTCTGTTTCTGTTATTACAGAGGATATTTCAGATGCACACATCGATTCACGCAAAAGTGTTTAGCAGTGAAGCAAGTTCAGAAATCAGACAGAGATCCTTCCATTTTCGAAGTGAAGTATGTCGGGAGCCACACTTGTAACAACGCCACCACATCTCCAAAAACAGCGACCACGAACTCCTCCTCTGTTTCGATGTTCCTAGAAGGAAACAGAGTGGCTGTTACAGAGCAAAAAGAAGACATCAAACCGACGAAAACAGAGGAGGTGATGATGAGTCTTGAAGATCTTGAGAGCAAGAAGAACATTTTCAGAACGTTTTCTTTCTCTAACTACGAGTTTGAGAATGCTGGTGGCTGGAAAGGTAACATCTTTCAGGAGAATCTGTCTCCTGCGACGACGTCAGGGTCTGGAATCACTAGCGAGTTCGTAACTGCTCCTGCTTCTGTTGAGAACTCGGAGACTGCAGATTCGTATTTCTCGACGCTGGACAATATTATCGAATTCGGACAGGATTGGTTGTGGTCGTAACATTTGAATTGGTGAATGTAATATTACCGTGGTAGTAGTAAATTAGTAAATTATAGATGGTGAGTGTAATTTTAGGTTTAGATTTATATTTTTGCTGATGGATTAGATGTTGGCTTTTAGGATATAAGTTTTTTCAATAGGGAAGCCTTTGTTAATCCCCCCCATTAATGAAGGTTACTGGTTCTTGATGATTATTAATGAATAAATGTTCTTATTAGTTTAAAATTGATTATTTTGGAGTGATTAAAAATTATATTGTTTTTTTCTAAACCAAAAATTGCAAATTGGACAAATTTTCAAAATAACACATTTCTAAGTTTATGTCACAAAAATAACTTTTAAAAAGTAAAATAACCTACATAACATTTTATCTTTTGAATTTTTTTAAACATTTTTATTTTTTAAAAATTGAAATCTTATCCAAAATACTCAGTCCCCAACTCTAAACCCTAAAACCTAAATTCTAAATTTCATCCTTTAACTCAAATTCTAATGTCTAAATTAATTTATCATTGGGATATAAGTGTATATGTATCTTTTTTGATAAAACATTAAACGCTATTTTGGTCATTTTTATTCTTAAGTGCTATATCTGTGACAAAAAAAGATTTTAGTGCTATCCTAATCATTTTCTCTTGCAAATTTGTAATTATAAAGCTGAAAACAAAGTTAGAGGCAGTGAAATAAATAAGTTAATTAGCCATATCTTAGGTATAATGGGCCTTAAGCCCAATAATAATTTAAAGGCCCAATCTCACATTAACAGACGCACAAGTCGTTAATATTCTGCAGATAGTCGGAGAAGACAACAACAAAAGTTTGGAAGAAAGAAGAAGGAAGAAAGAAGATGATATACCGAAAGTGGAGTTTGCTTTCCGGTCCACCGGTTATCCTCGGCGGAGCTGTAATTGCCGCGGTTGCCGTCGGCATCGTCTTACAGAACGTATTTTCCTGCTCCTATCTCTTTTGTTTGGATCGCTTTTTTTTTAATATAATAGAGATCCCTAACAGGTCGTTAGATCTATATCTTGATTGGATTCTCCTTTGATGTAATTGGCCGTTTGAGTTTCGAAAGGAACGTCCTTTGATCGAAAGTTTCTGTTTTGCTTAGAAGGTTTAGATTTTTAAGCTCTTTATTCATACATACATGAATTTTCTGGAGATAATGTCTATTGTATACAATACATTAACAATTTTTTCATTACCTTTTTTTTATTTTGTATGATTGATCCAAAGATTTAGACATTTTTGATGTTTCATGATTAGGTTACGAAAGGGGAGACAAAGAAGAATGTCTTACCAAACAAGTGAGATTGATAATGGGAAGAAGAAGAAGATAAGCTTACACAAGTTGTGGTTTTAATCTTTGTGAGTTGAAACATTTAGTTCATGGGAGTGTTGTAAGCTCAATAATATGCTTTTGGAAGCTTTTGAATACTCTCTTCTTTTTTGTTTCTTGTTGCTAATAATGGTAAAAGTCATTTTGCACATTTCTCATTCACTTCTTTACATTCATCACAAGGCCCTTGTAGAGTAGTAATAAACAACGTTTTGAACTTAGAATGTTAGGATGCTGAGAGTAAACAACATAGTAGTGTGGCTCGTGAACATTTCTTCATGCATGTCTTCTCGGAACTCTCATCCCGAACCCACGTTTTAGCTTATCAACCCTGAGACCATGTAAGCATCATACTCAGATACATGGAACTTGAAAGTTAAGGCAATAGAGATATGTTTAAATAATAGGCTTTGTGAAAAGCTTACGTTGGGGCGAGTTTGCCAAGACTATCTAGCTCTTCACCTGTATCTTCGTCTATGACTCTACCTGTGATGTAAACAGTGTAGGATCGATCCCTGTCTCGTGGTAGACCTCTGGCAATGAGCAACCGCAGGTCTTTCTGGTGAAGCTCTCTTCCGTTCACAAAGACTCCTGTGTTTCCACCAGCACAGTTCTCTGGCATTGGGTAGTTGAGCTCTTCAATGAAAGGCTGTAAGAAAGGAGGCACCGTTACTACACGTTAAAAAGTTTTAGAGAGACTAAAAGAATATGATTCGGTGACTGATGTTTACAGGTAATATTCCAAGACATTGACCTCCCATTACTCCCCAGAATCCAGCTCTGTAATCGTACCTGATACCAAGGAACAGAAGAGAGCCATTAGAGCTTAGCAAATGAGAAGAACTATCAAGAGATTGGATGACCACTTGTTTACCAGTAGTTTCCTGGCCGGATTGGTCCAGCTTGTTTCTCTGCCATTTTCACCAGACGTTCAGCTACAAGATGCCCATTCACCAAAACATCACTTCCCCCTTCGTTCTGCATTGACTTCTTTAGATCCTTGAAGCTATTTTTCACCATACTCGCAAATCCACCTTTCCTGGTTCTTCCATCCTCTTCTCTATAGTCATCACCAGAATCTTGAGACACTTCATTGTTGTGGGAACAGTCATTAATGTTCATTTCAATTAGTACTGAAGCTTCGTTCATAGAGTTCTGTCTCATGGCTGTCTTGCTCAGTGACACCATGTTCTGTTCTGAACGAGAGCTTTGGCTCCTTGGACCAGACCGGTCCTTTACATTGATGGAAGAAGAGTAGTCAAAATGTTCGAGAAGAGGCAAATCTGGAATGAGTTTCCTGCCTGTTGGACTGTCTGAACTTAGCTCGTCTTCAGACAAGCTAGAAGAAATAGAATCATGAGCTTTATCGGAGATTGAAGCAGGACCTGTTGATACATAATCTGCGTTTGACTCGTAAGCAGCATTGTCACACTCATCAGAAGAGAAGTCAACAGCAGTTACCCAATGCAGCCTACTGAGAGTTTCTTCTTCTTCTTCTTCTTTTCTTGCTGAAGCAGGATCAGTTGAGAGAATGAGTTTCTTATCAGCAAAAGAATAATCTATCAAACAAGAGCACGCTCCACATCGCAGTCTCTGTTGCTTTCTCGTTGTAGAATCTATTTTGTCAGGCAACTTCAGAATCTTGGAGCACTTCTTACAGTTTATAAATGGTGCACCACCAGCTACAGGGTGGACTAAACGAGAACCAACTTTATGGGGACGAACACGAGGAATAGCATTCTTTAACGCATCCACAAGTTCATTGGGACCACGAGGAGGATGAGGAGGTATAAAGGCTCTAGGACTATGCAATGGAGACCTAAACGCACTACTTCTCTCATGAGTGTAGAAACCGATGTTGTGAAGAGCATCAGGGAGCCCTGAGGGAGGATAAACTGAGCCTGAAGCTCTATGATATGGATCATAGCAATGGGAGCAAGAGCAAGTTGACTGATGAAGAATCATCCCATTTCCGGGGTGTGTATTAAACAACTCATGACCATTGTTGCCAGTATACTGTCTAGAGTAGTGGTGGTGAGATTGCTGCAGAGTTGTTTCATGCATCTGGAACCTGAGAGGGTCTCCATAAGCTGGGGCATGCAGAGAAACATCAGAGGTATTGTTATAACGACATGGAGGTTCAGGTTCTTGATTTTGATGGTAATAAGGCCTTGCAGCATGTTTCCCAGAGCTTGGAAACCGCAATGGAGCCTTTTTGAAACCTGAAGACGACCTCTGGATCTGCTTCTCTTTTAGCTTATCCAGTTTTTTCACCAGCTCAGCTCTGTCTTGTTGGATTGCTTCATCAGTGGACACAGAATCTGTAAAGTAGTTGGAAGCTGAGAATCTGAATACCTTGGTTTTCCTAGACCGATCCAAACCAGACTCAGAACCGCTAACAACATTCAGTTTTGAACAAGAGACCTTCAAAGTCTCTGTTTGACAAGTTTGTTGGTGGTGTCTTGATGAATCATCTGATTCTTCTTCACTCGAAACAGAGTTAACTTCAGTTTCTTTGGCTCTGTTTTTCTCTGACTTGTCCAACACTGGATCTGCTTCACGGTCTTTGTTTTTGGCTTTAAATACAAAAAACAAATCAAACAAAATCATAATCCAAAGTAAGAAAAGTTATCAGTGAAATGATTGTAAACGAGAAACTAACCACAAAGAACGGTTCCACAACCACCGCACTTGAAAAAAGAACAATCTTTAGGCTCTGGTAAGAGATTCTTGCACTTGGGACAACGAACTAGCTTTACTTCTAACGTCGACTCGGCCATTAATTACACCACACAAAATTGTCACTCAGCTGAGAAGAGAAATAGTCAACAAGCAATAACAAGAAGACAGCTTCTTCTTGAAGCAAAGAAGAGAGCTGAAGTTTTTATTTGTTTTTGCTTTTTCTTTAATGAGCTTTTTAGGTCTCTAGAGAGGTGCCAAAGATGGAATCTGTGAAGAACCTCTTGGTTAGTTCTATTCGTTACTCTTTCCACCTAACCTTCATTTCCTACACTCCCCAAAAAGTAAACTTGAAGAAGAGTAAATCAGAAAGAGAGAGAGAGAGAGAGACTCTACAGACTGTATTTTCCTTCCCTGGTCCCTTACACAACAGAACTAAGCAACAGAACCAAAAAACGGTTTGAAAAATTTAAAGGGTTTAGTTAGGCTTTGATGGTCATATTTCATTTTGGTGTTTTTTATCCACAGATCATAGAAAACGACTGATAAAGTGAGCTCATAATCGATTTATTATGGGCGGGACAATCTATAAAGTGGGCCATTTCTTCCTTTTGATTTCTTTTTCTTCTTTTGTTTTTGTTTATCGCCAAGGAATAAAATTTATAGATTGTCTTTTACTTCTTTTTTTTTTGAAATATTTGTTGGAAATCCAGAAAGATTCTTGTTATTACTGTTAATATAAGTAAATTAGCACTTTACTTATCAATAAATGGCTGCATTATACATTTTATATAAATAGTAAAATACAGTTGGGGGATCCCACAAAATATCAAAGAGGGAGAAATTGTCAAAAGCCAAAGCTGGTTTTGAGACAATGATGGAAACATTAAATTGATGAGGGTGTTGAAGTGAGTAGTTACTTGTCTATTTCTCATTTATTATTCTAATTCATTTGTACTGATTTTGAATTTTTTTTGTCTATATTTTCATCATGTAGTTAGACTTTTGAAGACCTCCTGTTTGTTTTTATTGAATGTTTCATATCCTTTTGTTTTGTTAAATAAACAAACCGTGTGAACTTTCTATCTAACATTTTTAACTTTTGAAGAAAAGAATTACAGTTGGTAAAATTTCAAAAGATTGAAGGAGGGAAGAGGAAGGAATCAAACTTGTTCCACTTCACTTGAGACGAAGAAAAAAACAAATTAAAGCAAACAAAAAAACAGATATGGAATAGAATTTAAAGTACAAAACTAAGGGTAAAGCAAAATTATATTTTAAAAGTTTCGAACTCACTTCAAATCAATCAATCAGATTTGTTGTTGAACTAGAAAAATTCCAACACTGAATATAGGGCTATATGGGCTTAATTAAGCTCATTCGTAATTTCACACTCGTCATTACCTTGATTAATCCTAGATATCTTGTAAACTACTTAGACTCGTCATTATCTTGATTAATCCTAGATATCTTGTAAACTACTTAGAATTGGTCAAGAAAGAACAGTGTGATTTTTTTTTAAAAAAAAACCTTTTTAGAACACATTTTTCATCACATAAACAGGTTAAAAAGAAGGAAAAAAAAAACTTGGTTACATTTTAGACAAAAAAGTTCTTCTAAGACTTAGTACAGCATAAAAAACAACTAGGTAACATTCTCTTCTTGATTTCTTTCTTAATTTCGTAATTATTCTTTCTATTCCACCAATGTTTTCTCCGTTGACTAGAACCTGTGGTCGTCTTAGAAGAAGCATATGAGTTTTCTTCTTTATCTTTGTCCATCACAGCTCGTAGATTCAAACGGGGCGGCCGAACGTGAGAAGGAGAGAAAGGCAGCAGTTTGCGTTCGATGATGTGAGCAAAAGCGACGAGCTCGTAAGAATCGTAGAGAGCACTCTCACAGTCCCATATTTTGTGATCACGAGAATCACTTACCTTCTGTTGTAATAATGTGTTTTGTGAGTTATAGCTTCCATGGAGTCTTGTGTTTGTCATGACTGAAAAGACTTAAGAGTTTCTTCCCTATGTTGATTTCTTACTGAAGCAAAGATACTATAACTTTTGTCTCTGGAAGTGTGTTGTTATATAGGGATTGAAAAAAAACTGAATTGGCAAAATAGAATTTTGTGGGTTGACTGTGTGTTCTGCACGCTGGTAAAAGTGTATGTTACCGTTCCTATAAGATAATTTCCAGCTATCATTTTTACAAATAGGGGAAAATATATAAATATATGCCACATTCCTATATTGATATTTCCATTTGTATTATTTTCTTAAATTAAATATATTATTTTCCTAAATGAAAAGATATGGTACGCTTTATTATTAACTATCATCTATTTTGTTCATGAGAACTTAATGCAATAGATAGTAAAGAGTTTGGTGTGGAAAGAAAAGGATGGCATGCATGAACCTGCGTGCAGGGTGGTATGTTGTCAAATAAAAAAGAGATAACGATACATTACACTTACATCATCTTATCGTATGAAGCAGAAAAGAAAAACAAACACTTCTATAAAAAATATATAGATGAAAAAACTTATATTTGTTATTTAAAAAATCTCGTCTAATTTTACTATAGGTAAGACTCTAATTGTTTGCTGAGTGATTTGATTTGAAATATACAGTACATATTTGTTGATAACGTGATATATACACATTAGTCCAAAATTTTATAACAATTTCACTTTAAGAGATGGACTTAAATAAGATTGGACGGGATTATATCCCTTATATACTAAAGCGCAAGTCACATGACGAATAAAATTCTGACATGTGGAAAATTAAAAAAAAAGCAATTGAAAAATATAGAAAAACAAACACGTGTCATCTGATTCGTAATTAAAAAACAAATTAAAGTTTTAAATCCAAAAACAGTTACGTATATCAACTGAATTATATTTATTGTTTTCTGTATAAAACAAAGCAAATCCCTAATATTTCTCAAAAGTTACATCCACGATCTCATGATTTTTGAAACTGCTAATCTTTCTTCAGATAACTCACGATACTATAAAATTTTGTTCATCTCCTTCTACATTCAAAATAGTAAATTCCTAAATCCTTTGCAACTGTTCCATTAATTTTCTCTAAAATTCAGTTTCTACCCAGATACATTTGAGACTTATAATGATCGTATCCGCACTACCAATCCTATATAAACTAAAGGAAATACTTTCTGGTCAAAAGAAGAAGACAGGTATGCTATGGATTGATAAATTAAGCGTACTTCAATGTTAGCAAATAAAGGTTAAACCCAGGTTAGTGAAATTAAAAACGTTTTAACTCTTTATGCTCAAAATAAGTTTATTTTCCATCAACCTTTTCCTAATCTGTTTATATCTTTTTTGTTTTCTGTTCTTCTAGACAGTGTAAAAACTACGTATTACATGGTGGAAAGATTAAAGGTAAACAAAATATGTCAATTACATTTTTAAAATGGACTAAATTAATGTTTAATTTGCTGGAATACGTTTATTTGTTGTCATGGTAATAGTTCATGAAAGGAAATAATAGTCCCCTCTCCCCCCTCAACTAAGCACACGTACAAATCCCCTACAAAACTTGAAAGCAGCACAAGAAAGAAGAAAGGAAAGAAGGAGGAAAACATGGAAATAACTAGAAGGCAACGAATAAGATAAAAAGAAATGCTGGTGGTTGAGAAACAACAGAGTTTTATCCCTAAGACCAAACCTAATGGGATTAAGAAAGCCAATTGGTAGAAGAAACGAGGATTCATGTCTACCTCTGTATCAAGATCTAACTTCAGGTTGGTATTCTTATTTTTTATGGTGATACTGTTTTTCAATCATCATATATATGTCTTTTTAGATTTTCTTAAAAAAAAATATTAGGATAAATATAACACTAAAAATGAAAATGAAAATGAAAAACAAAACAAAAAAGAAAGATAGAAAACATAAATATATATAAAAGAAAAAAGCAAGAAGACATTAAATATCTATAAAAATTAATATTTTAATTGTATTTGTGCTAGATATATACCTTCCTTCATTTTTTCACATTTAATGATTTTGGTTTAAGCGATCAATATTTTACATGCATATTAGAATCATATTAGGTTGTTATAAATTATAAATATCTCAATAACAATTTTAAGTCTAACAATAACTCTCAAAATAATATGTACTAGATTTTGACCCGCTCAACCGAGCGGGTGTTAAATTCATTTATAAATATGTATATATATATATATATATTTATTTACATCATTGTATATATTATTATTCATATGTTTAATGTTTATAAAAGATTCTAAAAGATTTTGTTAGAATTCTTTTTAAAATATTTATTTTATTTCAAATAAAAGAAAAATATCAAAAGATATTGTAACTAAGTCAAATAAAATGTTATTAAGATACATATGAAATATTACTTTCTAGAAATGGTCCATTTTTAAAAATATCACACATGAAAAGAAGTTGTGACTTCTCTTTTAATATAATAGATATTTACTTTAATTTTGTAATATATGTTATAAAAATAAAAATAAAAATCTGTCCGTGCGTATGCACGGGAGATAATACTAGTATATACATAATACATCAACGTATAAGCCATTCTACAAGGAAAACCAAAACTAGAGTACAAACTGCCTAATTAATACTCTTACATTCAGAGTGTCATTGATCGCTAGCAAATAGTATCTGAACATCCAAAGCGATTTGGCTGATGAGATAACAAACATCGAGAATTTTCATTCTGCTCTCAAATACTATTTGCTGATGAGTTATGGTTTGGCACTTGTACGTGGACGTTGGCCCGGTTCTCGGTTCAATTGAGAGTCTGGTTCAACAGAGAATACTTTTTTTTTTTTTTGGAGAAAGGTCCTTGTATTAAAAATTTAAAATTAAAGAAAAGAAAAAAGGTAAAGCCCATTGGATTTAGAGAGCGAGGGTGAACCAGAGGCTGAGCATAAGCGCTAGGGTTTGAGTTTCTGACCAGTGTTGTGAGAATTTGGTGTGAAGACGTTTCTGTGTAATCATCTGACTATTCCGTTCCCCCTTCCTCTTAACATAAGTGAAGCTCCGTCTCAACTCCTCTCGTTGTTTCTGTCTTGTCCTACGTACGCCGGAGCTCCGCGTATGGAAGATAAGGGAAAGAAGGGTTTGGTGGTGGGAGAAGATGAGGAAAGCTCGTTGTCTGTATCAGAAGAAGGGGGTCCAACCGATATGGAAGTAGAAGATGGTAGTGATGATAACTATGATGATGACCAAGACGAAACCAGTAGTGATCAAGGATCCCACGTAGATGATGAGTCAGATGAGGATGATGAGTCAGATGAGGATGTTGATGATGATGATGATGATGATGAGAAGAAACTCAAAGCACATGATGGTTCAGATAAGAGATGCAAGGATGATGCGATTAACACTTTGAACGGATTCGAGGAACGCTTTTTTAAGTTGTATTACATTCTGTCTTCCTTCACTCCCTCTAATGCAGTAACAACTTTGACTTTAATCTCTATTATTTATTTAGCATTAAAAAGTACTTTAACTGCATGAACCTCACTGGAATCACTCCTGCTTCGCTTGTTCATTCTCGTGTCCACGATATTATATGATTAGACAGTTCTATTCATATCAACCTGGCATCTCTGCATATGCTTACTTAAAAAAAAAAAAAATCACAGTGTGTTTATAATATACAGAATAAAAAAAGGGGTAGACGACAGGGGTCAAACAAACAAGTTTCACCCGAGATTCTTAAGAGGTTGGGTGAGGCTCTTCTTCTTCTCGCAGATAATAAAGGCAGTGAGGTAATCCAGATGAAATGTTTATTTTCTGTGCCTTTTTTCTTCAGGAATAATTTCCTGAATAAGCAAACTGATTTTCATCATCACTACATCGTTTTCACTATTAAATTTACTGCTGCTTTTTCCTAAGTAGTGTGTGTTACTCCCTCCGTTTCATATTAAGTGTCATTGTAGAGAATTTTTTACGTTACTAAATAAGTGTCGTTTTCGGTTTTCAATGCATAATTTATTATTTTTATTATGTAATTTGTTTTTCTATTGGTTAAAATATGGTTAGGTGTATGGGTAATTGTGTTTTTATATAGGAAATATGTAAAATTAATTATTTTCTTAATCTGTGTGCACAGCTGTAGAGTGACACTTATAATGAAACAGAGGGAGTATATTTTATGGATCGATGCTGATCAATGTTGTTTTACTTTCTTCCAGGCTTTTCCTATTTTATTAGACATTATTAAGGAAGCACCAACATTCGATCAAGCTTATTATTACCTAGCACTTGTACTTGACAACCTTGGTAAGACTGACTCATTTTCTACTGAAGCATTGAAGAGTGCTGCATATTTAAAAAAAGGTCCAAATTCACATGTTTGGAAGTTGCTTTACGACAGGGCCAAGTAAGTTCAATTATGGCTATCTAGTTGTTAACAGTAAGAGTCTTATCAGAGATTGTAGAGCTTGCTAGTAATTAAAGTAGCAAGATTTTAATGTTCATATGGAAAAAAAAAAAAAAAAAAAAGAGTACAACGAAAACGCGGGAAAATTTGATTTTGGCTGTGAAAAGCTAACAAACAAAAAATTAATTGATTTCAGGGAACAAGGGAACATGGTGTTAGCAAGATATTATGCGTCCAAAGCAGTAAAAGCAGATCCAGAGGACATGGATCTGAGATATGAATATGTAGAGCTCTGCCTAAGTGCTGGGGAATATAAAGAAGCTGCTAAAACCTATGAGAAAATATTTCGTCGGCATCCTGAGATAATTGAGCCACTCAAGTCGGGGACAAAGGTATATTATATATAGATGCTGAAATGAGTTGAAATTTTATCTCTGTGATTTAGACAAGTTATACCAACTTATTTCTTCTTCTTGTTGGGTTTCTCAGTATTTTCTAAAATCCGGCGAGGGTGAACGAGCAGCAAACATGTTAGAGGATCATATAAAATCTCATCCATCTGAAGTGAGGCCCGATATCTTGGATCTACTGGCTGATGTTTTGATGCAAATTAATGCGTATGATAGAGCTCTTAAGTACATTCATGATGTGCGCCACCAAATTTACAAACTAGGAAAGGAACTGCCTTCCAGCTTAATAATCAGACAAGCCATCTGCCATGTTCGCCTCCAAGAAATGGAGCAAGCAGAGGTTTGTGTATCTTTTACATTATAAACCTGCTAGCTAATTTTTTTTATCCGAATGATTGCTTTAAAGCTATACCCTCTTCTAAAAGCTTATGTACCTTCTCTTGTGAATGATGTTGCTTGCCGTCTCTACAGAATGTTTTAAGAATTCTACCACAGGAGGCTGTATCTGAACATCCAAAGCTCATCATCGATTTGGCTGATGAGCTAACAAACATCGAGAATTTTCATTCTGCTCTCAAATACTATTTGCTAGCAATCAATGACACTCTGAATGTAAGGGCAGTTTGTACACTCGATTGTTTCTTCTCTTACAACTTTTGTTTCGTCACTTTGGTAATAACTAGTTTGTGGTTTTCCTTGTAGAATGGCTATTTGATTGTGAAAATTGCTCGCTGTTATATGTCGTTGGGAAAACGAGAACAGGCCATCGTTTCCTACTACAGAGCTTTGAATGAAGTCAGTGATCCAATTGATGCTCGCATAACTCTGGCTTCACTTCTCCTGGAAGATGGCAAACGAGATGAAGCTATATCAGTGCTTTCTCCTCCGGAAAATCCAGGTCAGCAAAGCAACAAAAAAAATCATTATCTTCTCTGGCTTGTATTGTCTACAAGCGAGTGAATAGTTTAGCAAACTTAATTTGTACAATGATTTTAGTACCTTATTAAATATCACTTTGACAGATTTGATGTCAAACTTTGTACAATGGTTTGTGTTATCTTTCCAGTGTCCTGTTTTTTTTTCTTCCAAATGTTATTAGTTATGCGATACGCATCCTGTCATAAGATTGCTTACGATGGTTCTTTTCTCTAAGCGCAGATCTTGACACGTCTATACATAAGGCATGGTGGAAGAAAAGAAAGATAAGGATGCATCTTTGTCAGATGTATCATTCGGAAGGGATGCTTGAGGAATTTGCCAATACAGCATTCGAGTTGGTTCTTAAGTGGGTTGGGCGGCGTATGGTATAATATAGCTCTGTATCCAAGTGTTTCATATAATAATAAACATGCTAACGAAATTGACAACATAAAATAGTTACTGCTTCTTGAAGAAAAACATACTTTTGACTTTCATTCTTTTGTTTGCTGGCGTCTAACACTGTTCTTGCATTCGGCCTCACGAAAACGTTTAGGTCAAGGGAAAAAGAAAACGATCGGACCTTTCGGAGCTTCAAAGAAATAGAAGACGCCGACGTCCTAGAGATCCTCAAGCTTCCGAGTGAGTATTTTTTTT